TTCCAGTCTTAGTGGGATTCCAGATTCGTTGAGCTCTATTCCGGATTCCAAAAGCAAAATTTCAAATCCAGGATTCCAAAATTCTGATTTTGTTACATGGGACGAGACATGAAACTGACCCCTTGAAGGACAACAGCTGGGAGGAAAGACAACTGAGGCTATGTTCACACTAATGACAGCTTTTCGTGTCAGCACGAAAAGCTATCCGGTAAGGCTATCCCTTATGGTATGAACAGCAACAACCCATGTTTACACACATTGTATCCAGTATCCAGTTGGAAGACCATTCACGACGATAAAAAAAACGCTTGGCGATCGAGCCTTTTCCAATGCATCTGCTAAGATTTGAAACAGTCTCCCGCAATCATTGAAGTCACAGCAAAATCTGATTTCAACACCTTTAAGACATTGCTTCAAACTCACTATTTTAGAGAAGCGTTTAATTTGTAATTTCTTTTTAGTGTTTCATATAGTATACATCTTCGCATTTTATTGTAAATTCAAAATTGTAAATAGGTAACATAGTAATTTCGAATTCAATTTTAATTTGTAAAACGCATTTGATCATATCCTCCTGTATGTTAATTTGCGCTATATAAATATTAAATATTATTATTATTATTATTATTATTATTATTATTATTATTATTATTATTCATCGAACATCGTGATGGCGCCGTAGTGTTTGGTGCACTGAATTGCAGTCCTCACTCATGAATATTTACTTCCGTTTCAGTGGGTTTCAGTCCTCGCTCCGACTTACTTTCTTTAATCGCCATGGTCTGAATAGGAATTCACACTGCACAAAAAGTATGGCGCAAAACCTATCCCATATGTAATGCGTCACAGAAATCGCGTTTAAATCACCGTTCTTGTGTGTGAACGGAAACCCTATGATTCTCGTTGCGGCGTAAAAGATACCCCGTGTAGTGTGAACATAACCGAAGGGAGGTTGTATGATAGAACACGGTTCAACCACCTATAAACGGTTTCTCATTTTGCTTTTATTATATTCCGGCTGTTCGTTAATCAATTTAACCTTCTACAATTATTCACCCTATCCTATTTTTAAACAAGTTTCATTTTCAGTTGCAAATGACATGAATCAAGATTTACAGCCCTATCAGTTCTCTTCGTAGGTAAATTACTTGGTTTTCTTATGTAGAAACGCCGTTTGGAAGCCAGGGATACTGCAGATAGGGGTACGTCAAACGGCCGTTGTTATATCGCATCCAATTTCTGCGCTTTAACTTGCAACTTATGTCTTTTTTGTAGAAATTGTAGTATTTCTCAACGAGTTTAGAGGCATTAGGATCGGACAGCAGTGAATAGTAATCAAATAACGTCTCGTAATGAAGTGTACCAAGGTTCACTGCGACTAACCACGAGGAACACCCGCCGAAAAAGACAACGCTCATAAAAAGGAAAAGGGGATGTTTGTCGGAAATTAGTAGCCCGTCTTCAGGCCATATGTTCATGAGTACAGGGAAATTGATCTCCGTCGATGACGTCACCACAAATTTGGTAGCCAGCTTCCGCAAATGCTCGGTAATGGGGCATAAGAGACCTAACAACCGTGAAAACGCGGGAATTTTATCATTGACGATAAATTTTTCGCGCAAGTCATCAGAACATTTTGGGGGTTTTAATTAGTTGCGCTTTGGACTAAACTACTGATTATTGACTAACGCACTCACTGACGATACGTTGCCATTGGGTAAATTGAAGACGCCAAATTTTCCTGGTGGTACTTGCGTGTCGTTGTAAACCTTGGTTGGCATAAGGGGAGTGAATACCCCATAGTCAGGTACTGGAAAGTTCACCGCGCTATTCTTTACACTCAGTAACCATAGCAACTTGTATAGCATGATAATTAGCTCTCTCTTGGTTCTCAAGGTGTCTGGGAAGTCTTCAACGTAACGAGAGTTAAGTGGCCGCTACAAGGGTGAATTTCCACTGTCGCGTAATTTTAATGTGCACACACCCGCGTAAAATTCACGTGCGTAAAAAGTAAACTAGAGGCCACGTATGAAAGACCGCGCAAAAGTTGAGCGAGGTTTAACTTCTACGTTTGCGCGCGATCATCCATATGTTGCCTCTCATGTGTCGTTGCGAGATGTCAGAAATGGGAAATGTCAGGTGATTAATGTCATCATTAGTGTGTTTAAGCTGCCTGCTTGATTTGGGCAGGCAACGATCTGATTGGTGAAAAGAGACAATAACATACCCACGTGTCCAGCCGTTTTTTCGGGGAGGGGCCATAGCTCCTTTACCGAACAGTGGCTGGTAATCGAACCAATCATGTTTGTGTAATTAAAACAGTTACTCAAACATCGAAAAATGCCAGCGATTTTCTCAGGCTAAAGTACTCTTAACCCTGACGCCTTGAAAAATAACATCCAGCACGTTTGTGAAAGGGATGACTTTGTTAGATACTCACATGTTAACGTAGTCGCTTGCCATTTAAAACATTACTTTGTTATACATTAACATGCCGTCGTCGCGATATGGAAAATACGGGAGCATTCTCCCGTCATTTAGGCCGCGTGTCTGTTAAATGCAATCATTTTTTTTTCTTTTGATACCTTATTAATGAAGTAAGATTACTCTCAAGATTGTATATACCAGCTGATTTACGAATCAAAGACCAAGCTTGAGTGGGTAAAGATGAGCTGAATATTTTACGCGTGAGTTTGGCTCAAACATGTTCAAACAGCTGTGATATCTTTGGCGGAGCTGTATCAAACCCTGTGCTCGGTTTATTTCATCATAGGTGCTTCGAGAACAAACCTCTTGAGCCAGGGTTGGCATTTTGAAAAATAAATTATAGTCTGAAAAGGCTTCTTTTCTCCACTGTCAGGCTGTCTGACAAACCATTCAAGTTTTATTTTTTGGGCGCCTCACACTTTAAAGTCCCGGATGATGACGCCTCATTCTGGGCGATTTGCAGTCTTCATCAACAATGAATGTTCCGTGTTGTCACGCGAATAAATCATGTGACTACAAATGGTTGAGGTATTTTACAAGCAATCTTGTGTTAACTGCAGTTTTTTCTTTGGGATATTAAACCTCAACTTACAGGAATCGCTTGTCACCCTGCGAAGTGTAAGTGGATAACATATGAAATTTGTAGGGTCAGGAGCCCACTGGCGAGTTTCCAGTTAAAGCTCACTAGCTGCTTTAATTATAAGAAAACAAACGGAAGCTTCTTTATTATGCAGATTATAGGTTTGGCTAAATCTATAGATAGTTTTCACTGTCACGGAACAAAGAAATAAATTGGAAACCGTCCAGTGGAAGAAGCCAAGAAAATGAAATGTTAGAAAAGACTTATATACTGAACAATTTGTCCAAGTCTCAGGTCTTTGTGGTCCAATTCTGAGTTATTTGCCGAAACTTTTCACCCACCTTTGTAGAGCCTTGTACCAATATGGCCGCCGGAAATCAACAAAAACATCTGGAGTTCACTTTTTCTATAAAAGCTCTTTCTTTTCACCCGGGAACTAGCATACGTACGCATAAACATACAGTCGACTCCCGATAACTCGAACATTCAAGGAAAATCGAGAGTTCGACTTATCGGGAGTTCGAAGAAAATAGCCGAGAGTAAAGTAAAAAACAGTTTTTAATGCACAGTGAACATTTTAATCACATTTAATTGTGGAAATGTCAAGTGAAAAAAAAGATACTTCTAGATTATAAATCAGAACGTAACGTAACCGTGAAAGAAAGCCTAAATAGAGCATGCGTTTTACTGTTTTGAGCAGAAAAGCTGCTTCACGTTAGCCTGTGACAATCAACATCATCAGCTTCCACTAGTAAGCTATATTCCTACAACTCCAAATTTCAATGTTTCGCACGCCAGTATACGGCTTTTCCCCGACTTTTTAAGGGCTCAAAACATGGTTCGAGTTATCGAGGGTAAAATTATATAGAAAATGACCTTAGGGGAAACGAAAATTGGTTCGAGTTAGCGGGAGTTCGAGTTATCCAGGGTTCGAGTTAAAAAAAACAGTGAATGTATGACGGAAATCCAGGGGAAATCAATTTTGGTTCGAGTTAGCGCGAGGTTCGAGTTAGCGAGGGTTCGAGTTATCGGGAGTCGACTGTATCTCCTAATACTTGAAATGGTTATACTGCTGAAAATCAAGAGCAGAGACTTTTTTTTCAACGAGACACTGACTCGGAGGTTCAAAATGCTGTATTTTCGAAATGAAACGGATGAAACACGTTACGGAAATGGAAACTTGTACAAAGATGTACTTTTTGTTTATCTTTACAATTTGATGACGTCACTGCGAAAACTATGGCGCTTTTTTGGGGTCAAAATTAAGTGATACATTTTACATGGCGAATTAAAATAACCCATACATTTTACATGGCGAATTAAAATAACCCATACATTTTACATGGCGAATTAAAATAACCCATACATTTTACATGGCGAATTAAAATAACCCATACATTTTGCATGGCGAATTAAAATAACCCATACATTTTACATGGCGAATTAAAATAACGCATGCATTTTACATGGCGAAATAAGATACGTATGTATTTTACATGGCGAATTAGTCGGCAAATTATGTAACGCTTGCATTTTACATGGCGAATTAAGTAACGCATGCATTTTACATGGCGAATTAAGATAAGCGTGCATTTAAGATACGGGTGCATTTTACATGGCGAAATAGCTATAATAATTGCAAGGCTTGATATATCTACATGACAAGTGAAAGCTTGACAGTGGCCGACATTTTACTTGGTTAAATCGTTTATATTTTTCAAAACTCATGCAGACCTCAGACCTCGGACCGCAAAACTCATCTCTCCCCCTCACCACCCCTCGTGTTGATCGTCCGTCAGAAGTAAAAAGTCACGTGGTAAGCTACTGAGTCGCCTCCTCTCGTTAAGATCATGGAAGGTGATGTGCTCAGGGAATGCTCTTAGCGTTTAATGCAAGCTGCCGAGCAAATACAAACAGGACAGAATTCTCTAATGAAATAACGGGAGGGCAAGGCGAGAAAGTGAACCGACTCAGACTGCTAGTGGCCCAGAAAGTCTCAATAGCACGTCACCAAGGTCTGCTCTCTCTGCTGCTGAAAGAAGTGCTGGAGACCTTGAAAGGGCGTCAGAATACGGCTGGTCCAGCCTGGGAGGAGCACAGAAGAATTTTTGGTTATAGGCCGTCGTCTGGGGCATCGCGGAGCCGGCCAGGTAGTGGAAACAGCAGAGGGAGGGGAAGAAGGCAGCCAGCAGCATTCTCGCCATAATTCCATCGCAAGAGCAAGTGGACAAGAGCGTTCGTCTGTCTGGTTTTCAGAGAGCAAAATGCGCTTCCTTCCACAAGCGAAAGATACACCCTTACACTAAACGGCCTAACGTCTGTGATGGATTGCGGTACTCCACCCAAACCGCCACTATCCGTTACGGTTTGAATCCAAAAAAAGGGAGAATTTGTGTTGCGTGAGTCTGGAACTGAGAAGGAACCGAGAAATTGGTTAATGGTAAGCAACATTCCGTTTGGTTCGTACCAACCGGAATGAATGGACTACCTCAAAACGTACTCCTCAGAATCAGCCCATGCTGTTCCGCCGCAGACTCGAGCATAAATTCAAGGCACAACAACTTCACATTTTCATACGTACCAGGGGCGGATCCAGGAGTTTTTTAGGAGGGGTGCACTCGTCTCTTGCTCTACTTCAACACCAATAAACCACATAGTTTTTTTTTTTTTTTTTTGCAGAATACCAGTTGTATTAGAAAACCGCAGGTCATCTCAGGGGGGTGTGCACCCCTTGCAACCTCCCCCTAGTTCCGCCCCTGCGTACTCACATTGCAATCGATTCGTCGCTTTGTCGCGATCTGTAAACGAAAACAGATATGTTTTTGCAAAATGGTAACATTATTTCAAACTCAGTAAAGCGTAAAAGAATGAAAACTTTTATATTCTTACTCGTACCTTTTCTTAAAAGGGATCCGTGTTTCACCCATTGTGAGGGAAAGGCGGCAAAGGGAGGAGGAGTACTCATGTCAATCATGATCCCTAGTTGCAACGCTCACGCGTATATGAAATTCTCGAAGAAACATTTTGCACCGTACGCAAAAAATGAGAGAGTAAAAAATATAATAACAATAAATAAATATAATGTGGGGATGAAAAGTCTTGATCGAGCAATGATTGTTAGTGATACTCTCAAGACAGAAACGTCTCCAGTTTTTATTTCTTTGGTTCGCTTTCCGGTTCCGGTTCCGTTTCCGGCTCCGCTTCCGGTTCCGGATTCCGGCTTTTCCATACGTCCAAAATGCACTCGTATCTTAAATGCACGCTTATCTTAAGTCTCCATGTAAAATGCATGCGTTACTTAATTCGCCATGTAAAATGCAAGCGTTACTTAATTCGCCATCCAAAATACATGCGTATCTTATTTCGCCACGTAAAATGCATGCGTTACTTAATTCGCCATGTAAAATGCATGCCTTACTTAATTCGCCATGTAAAATGCATGCGTTACTTAATTCGCCATGTAAAATGCAAGCGTTACTTAATTCGCCATCCAAAATACATGCGTATCTTATTTCGCCATGTAAAATGCATGCCTTACTTAATTCGCCATGTAAAATGCAAGCTTTACATAATTTGCCGACTAATTCGCCATGTAAAATACATACGTATCTTATTTCGCCATGTAAAATGCATGCGTTATTTTAATTCGCCATGTAAAATGTATGGGTTATTTTAATTCGCCATGCAAAATGTATGGGTAACCCTTTATAAACGCCATTTATTTTACTGTGAATTTCCAGTGACCAATCTGTCAGACAACGTTCATTTTCTCCCCGAGCTCGCTGTATACAGTTCCTGCATTGTGCCTATTTTCTTCTACATTTTAAATTTTTAACATGAGACGATCTAAGTATTAAACTACGAACACGCTTGTCGTGGCGTGACCCTTGCACGTTGGGTCTCGTTACCTCACTGTGGATGACTTGGTAAGCGGTCATCCGCTTTATGATAAATAATGACCCCAAGGGTCCCAAGCCGGCTCCTGGAACCAAGAGAAGTTGCACGAGTTTGGCTTTTCGCGGAAACTGGGGAAATTAAGAACAGAAGTTATGAACGGCAGAGATTTTTCATCACGTTTTCAAGCTGAGATGCTACTACTCTTAGTACACGTCTCTATACTGGTTAATTATTGAGGGAAGCTACCTTTCTCTGCACATTTGGAGATAAAATGGATAATTCAAGGCGACACTTCGACCTCGATCCCGAGTTTCAAACACCTCCTGGTACGAATCAGAGCAGTCCGTTCCGTTCTTTTCAATCTCTAAATGACCCGGAAAGCCCAACTTTTCAGACTCCACGGTCAAGTCCAGTGCGTGAAATAGACGGTATAGATGACTCCTTGGATAATGCACCGTTATTAACACAGGAAGATCACTACAGCGAGATCACTAGCTATGGAACAGAAAGGGAGATCGAACGACCCAGGTCTCTTGTCTTTCCTGGCAGTTCTGTGAGCTTTGAACGCGAGGATATGCCATTATGGAAACGTATTAGGTAAGTATAAAAAAAATGGAGCTATATTCTGTTCCTATGATAACACCGCATTTTCACCGAAAGGGACCTCAATGCAGCGCCGTAGCTAGTATGAGGCCAACCGAGGCACTCGCCTCGGTAAAATTTTGACGAATTTCGCCGATCATTTTTATTTTACATAAGCGATCATCGGATATTTTTAACGCATCATGATATTACAAAGAATTCAGCAATTCAGTCAATATACTATGAAAAAATTACCATATCATCGATCTCAAGGGGCTACGTACGTTAACTCAAATTTTTTTTGAACAAATACTGATCAAAACCATTGGCGAGCTTAACGGTCACCCAGATTATGTAGCTTGTTTCTGATTATTGCTTTTTAAACTCCACTTAAATTAACTCGAAAAAAAGTTACCGAAAGGCCCAGAAAACGCTGCAAATCACATTTCCGAGAGACTAAAGTTCAAAATTTCTCGGGGGGGGCATGCCCCCGAACCCCTAGCAACTCCCACCTGCCTCGGTTGGCCGTTTGGTCTGGCTACGGCACTGCAATGGAGCACGTACAATGCTTGTGTTCCAATCTGAAGGGTAAGGGTTTTATAAAGCAGTGTAGACTGCAGTAGGGTATAGAAATCAGAGGTTTTTGGCCCAGAAAAGGGTATCAGTTATGGAAAACTGATCAGTTCTCTAAAGAAAAGAGTTTCAGGTTTGTAGCCACAGGGTGGGGGAGGAGAGGGGGGCTTGTACACCATTAAATAGAGTGTTTTCACATGACGTCACGTCAGCCATATTGGTGTCCCAAAACAATGAAACAGCGGCCATGTTTGTGTCCCAAATTAGTCCTGTGGGAGATGAACTCTTTTCTTATGCAAATGATTTCTTTTGTTACAAAACATTTGCATAGATGCTGGCCACGTGAGTGAAAACACTCTATACCTCAGCAGCACACTGAGACAAAAATAGATGCCTTTGTGAATTTGTTCCAAAAAAAAAATGTATCATTCATTACTGAGCCTCAAGATGATTTCTTTTGTTTTATTCCCCCAAGCCTCGCAGCCAAGCATGAATTTAAATATATCGGAATTGGTCTATTATGAGACTTTGGGGGAGGGGGGGTACTAGTACTAAGTCAGCCTTTGTATCTATGGGTCAAAGTTTATAGCTTACGTCAACAGGAATTTTTGAAAACCAGGTTAGCAAACATTTTGTAATTTCTCTCAACTTCCCCTGTCTTAGCTTGTTTACTGCGTTGTTTGCTTATGTGTCATCTTTTTCTTGGATATTTCGTTGTTAGGAATTTGTGTAGAAGTGGCTGTAGACAGAATTTCACAAATTTTTATCTAACCCCCCCTCCCTCCCTCCCTTCCTCTTTGGTCTTTTTCCATTCCTACCCACAATTCTCTCTCTAATCAAGTGACAGTTATTTGAAATCATGCAGTGCTCACCTAAAGCTGGTTTCAGTGCTGCTTAGCAGTTTATATTTCGTTGTTGGTCATTTCGTTGAAGTGCTCCTAGGGACCACTAACTTACTGCCTGGCATCAGATAAAGGCTTTTAATCAGCCTTTGAATGATTTTTTATTGTTTTAAATTGTCAAGTAGTAGAATTAGTTTATTTTTTTGCTAACCCAGTTTTCAAAAATCCAGGTATATGTATATACTCTTGTGAATCTATATATTCTACAGGAAATAATACTCTGTGAAAACTGCATAATTTGCTGTATATAAGGCATTTTGACCTTTAATTTTGACCTCCAGTAAATTCTGTGTAATTTACCAATTATATGAAAGAAGATCATCGCAGTTATAGATGCAACTTTAAATATGCAATTGCGAAATTAGAAAGCCTGAAAAAAATTCAGGCTTGTATGGGATTCGAACCCTATCTGACCTCTGCAATACTGGTACAGCGCTCTTACGAACTGAGTTAACAATCGCCAACTGAGAGCAGGTCATTGAATTAGTTCATTATAAACCTGTGAAAGGATGATGATAAAGTTATGAATATATGAAAATCATCTATGAGAACTGCAGGCTGAAGAATTATATAAAAGAATATAAGTGCAATAATCTTCTGTCATATAATATTCTTCACCCGGCAGTTCTCATATATTATTTTCATATATTCATAACTTCAATTTACCAATTAATCATATTTTTTTGCTTATTACAGTGTTCATTTGTAAAAACTTCTTTGTTTGTATGTTTTTTTTGCAGAAGTACTTTAAAGAAATTGAAACCTTGGTTTTTCTTTCTGTTGGCTTTGGCAATCTCAGTAAGTAACATCGACAAGTAAAAGATTGGTGACTATTCTTTCTGGAATTTTCCTGAATAAGCTTATAGTTGATAATACAGGTATTTAAAATGACCATGATATTAATAATTAATACCAATTAATTAATATATTAAGTAATTAGTTGTTGTTTTTGTTAATGTCCAGGTGTTGTTTTGCTTTAAACAAGAAGCTCCTGATACTGATAGCCTTATGGTAGTGGGCGGTTCATCCGAAGAATGTATCCTTTTATCCAAACTGTAACCTGCAATTGGAAACAAAACTGTCAAGAAATTAGGGAGCTTTAGCATTAACAACTATGGCAAAGGCAACTAGGCTGGCAAAAAAGCACCAGGTTAGATAAGGAAAACAACAACTTTGAATGTGCATCATGTTTTCTGTACACTTCTTTGCCATTATTGCATGACTACAATGTTAAACCTCCTATAATTTCATGTTTCATGAAGGATATATATGTGAATGTGGGAAAACAATAATTTTTATTTAAGTTTTCTTTTTCTGAAATTTCATACAGTCTTTCAGAATTTAACTCCAGAAAAATTGCCAACATTTGACAAATTAAACAAGATTGATTAATTAATAAGAGCAAAGAAGTTTGAAGTAGCTCAAAATCACTTGTTGTGTGACTTTTTCGCCGCTGTAGCCTTCGTAGATGAAGGGGTTGAAGTCCAGGAGCTGTGATTTTGTTACCTCTGTGTCCTGGGTCCTTATAAAAATCCCCAAAGATGTCAATTAATTCATGGTAGTACCTTTTAGGATACAAAGATATCGTGATCGATTGATTGATATGAACATGTGTTTGTATTGTAAAAATATCCTGTTCATGTAATGTCTGTGGCAGTTTAATATGGCTGTTGTTTAACAATGCATATTGCTTTTAGTCTTTGTTGTGCTTCAGAATAGAAGGACTATATTTTAGTTCCGTATACTGTAATAATTATACAGAGTTGGTCTTCCGGTGAAATGTCTGGCTATACATAAAGGCCCAAGCATTTTCAAGTCAGGACTCATTTTTTGACCTGGGACTCACTGGTTCTGGACTGGGTTTCATGATTTGTCACAAGATGAGTCCCAGGATTCACCATAACCAGGTGCGGATCCACACCGGTTTCCACCGTTTTACGGAAATCGGTCAGGTTTTTCATAATAAACATATTTTTAATAATAATAGTAGAACTTTCCACGTTGAAATCTGGAAAATGGACTGGACAAATGTTTTCTTTTTCCAGTTTCCGGGCAGTAGAGAGAAACCGGGGAAAGGGAGCTTCAGGAAGTTAAAACCCAAAAAAATTCCTGGGGGTGCATCCGGACTCCCCTAGAAGCTTGCTCCCTCGGCCCCTCGTTCAGGAAATCGGTCAGTATTTATCCTAGATCCGCGCCTGATAACGGTATTTGTAACTAAATTACTGTATAAGTACTCTAATTTGCTATACTGTGATGCTAATAATAAGTTATCTCTAAACTATTAGCCTTAACTTAATACCTTGTCCTTAAGACCTTAAACTTAATCATAGCGGAGATGCTGTTGTAGTTGTTAGTGTATCTGGACCTTTTGTGGAGGAAGGTGAAGACCTAGGTAAGCATACTAGAAATGTCCGTGGACTCTATTTAACAACCTCCCCAAGGGTGGGGTGGGGTACTCCCATATATGGAATAGATAGCTATATAGGGGATCGTTTTTGCCCTTGCTGGCATTATGATTGAGGTTTGATTCCGCGTGTCGCCTTTTCTCGCGTGGGGTGATTTTCACGCACGCTCGCGTTTCGCTCGCTCTACTATCCCTGAGGACAACTGGGGGACTACTCGTAGTCTAGGATTCATAGCGTATTCAAAAATTTCCACTCTGGATAGCGGACTCAGAAAGTTGCGGTTTCGCATGCCGGATTCACCGGATACGTGTGCACGGAAACAGAATCCTCAAAGAAAAAGGTGTGGTTTCAAAAAAATCCGTGTGCGTGTGGACGGGGCCTTTAAGTTAGCAACCGCAACGGCCATGGCAACTTTATGATTGACTTTATTTGATTTACCACAAAATACAAATAACGATAAAACAAGACAGTTACACAAAAGCAAATGAAAGTGGCGAGGAAGCCCAAAAAGAAACCATGAGGCTTATAGACATTGGGCTCCCTCAGAGTAAAAATAAAGTTAACAGTACCGGCAAGGCCAGGATCGAAAGTAAAATACAATGAAGGTAAGTATAAATTAACTAATTACATAGACGGGGACGTCGAAAGAGTAATAGGTTTAAATAAACAAGACAACAGCTCTGCAGGTGCATCAATCTTTTATGTACATTTCTTTGCCGTTCCTGCACGACTATAACGTGATATTGGGGATGTAAATGCATCACTACGAATTTTTCTTTCTCCATCTAAACTTATGATTCACTATTTTCTGGGAAATTTATCTACATTAGACATTTTAAAGGAGTTCAAATATTCGCGGCAAACTTTGAAAAACAAACAAAAAAACGCGAAGACGTCTTGATATGACTGTTTTCGCTGCCGTCACCTTCGTAACTGCTAAAGCTCCCTTTTAGTGTTTTTTTTGCTCTTGAAGGCCCCCAGACTGCTCCAATGGAAGATGGGTAATTCTCCCTTCCTACCTCCACAAGCGAGCTCCCCTTGATCTAACTTATTGCCGCCTACTTAAAATTTTTTCTCCTCCTTCCTTAAATTATCTAGAGACCCTAGAATTCTGTCACACCTGTTTCATTAGTACTGTAACTTCAAGACTCGACTTCTGTTCAAACAATTCAGTGTTGCTGAAAAGAGTTTTTATGCTTGCTCCTTTGCCTTGCAGGTTCAGAGCACAAACTCACCATTGCCCTTGCAAGATTCTGTAGCGATAATGATTCATTCCTTGGACAACAGGTACACGTTAGTTTAGACATTTGATTGATCCAGTCAAACTCTCTTGGTTCAGTAAATCAAAGTCCGGACAATCAAGGTTCAACATTATACCGTACCGTTCTTGAAGTATAATGCAGAATGAGGTTGCAGTAATATATAACAATTATTCACCGAAGTTGAGGTGGCTAGTGGTGGTAATTCACCTCGCCGCTACGCGGCCCTGTAAACTAGCCACCTCCACTTCGGTAAATAATTGTTTTACTATATTCTAAAACGGTGAGATAATTGCGCACAAAATGATGATTTTTAACTCATTTACTGTTGCTAACTATTACAATTTTGGCGTGCAATCACCGAACGGCCGTCACGTTTTGTTGCCGACAAATAAAACTTTTGAAGGCATTTGCTTAGCTCTTTCTGGGAAATTTCGTCAAAAGGAGTTGTGAATTCTCTTTGTATTTAAGACCATTCTGTAAGAAAAAGCTATTAAACTTAGTTTTAAGCTTATTTATGAACAATTCCTCTAACTTAAGACTTAAGCTTAATTTGCATTTGTAAACCAAAAACTTTTTCACCGGTTTCATTTTAAATTCAAGTCAACCAGACAAAGCTTTACCTGTTAAAACTTCCAAACCGAATTTCGTCACTTTCTTCGTGTATTTCGGGAACAGCTTGTTTGATTGTTTGTGAAATTTCTTTGTTTTTTACGGCAGCAAGCCGGGAAGCCATTTTGCTCGTAACTCACGCGAGTTTGGCGTCGCTCGCTCGGAGGAACTGGAGGTGAATCAGTGAATAGTGCTGGATATTCCGAGGTTGAGCAACCAATCAGAGCGCGCGAAAAACACTATCCACTGTTTGTTTGTTTCGTCTTTTTCTCCGGTATCCTTGGCTGAATTGTGCCCCTTCTGGCGAGGTTTGAAAAATCTCCTCACTCTGCACAAGTTAGCGGACAAAGTTGTCCTTGACCGTTAAAACTAATGACGTCACAAGCGATAGAAAGCACGTGGACCGGCACTGGCGGTTTACGGGCCGCTCGGGAGCGAATGGGTTAATAAATAGACATCCAATTAAAGTTGAGCCTGTGATTAATCGAAAACTAGTAACTTGTCAGCGGAGAACTTCAAAAAACGCGTAACTTCGATAAGTCGACACCTGAGCCCGCAATATGGTCAAGTGATACTAGTCAGTGGATACGCGGTTTTGACCGCTCTTAATTGACCACAACCTGGATGTATAATAAGGTTGCAGGCTTCCACACTAGCTAGAAAGTTTAACATTTAACATTTGTTTCCCTGTGGTACGGACGGGCGGTCGGGCGTTCGTGCGGTCACGTGATTACCAAAATTTTTTTGGATGGATAGATTACCACATTTTCTTCAGTATGGGGCTCCACTGGCGCACTTGAAGCGCGCGCGTGGAGCTCGGCATAATGTGCAGTAAGTTTTAATTCTAACGTTTTAAGATAACACAAAAATTAGAAAAACAGCTTGCCTGGCCTCCGTTTACTAGCCAAAAAGTGAGCTAATGATTTATCAAGTTTGTAAAAAGTAAAAAGCTTAGCCCGATAAAAACAGCCAAGTAATTGGCCGGTTCGTCGTTGGCTATCGAACAGGACTTTCGCCGAACCTTGTCTCGAGTCTCTGAGCAAAATTTGCGCGACCATTCGATTGAAATGTGTTTAAACAATCGTTGAATGAGGTTTTCGTGATTGTTGTGTAGAAAACAACGACAATTAAACACATCATTGCACGGTAAACAGTTTGACATTGCCCTTGGAAATCATGCTTTGCACGCGCTACCTACAGATTGGTTAGGTATCTGCTAGCAGATAACTATTCTGTAGGTTGCACTGGTTTCCAAAATTAACTGTAGGCTCTTAGCCAATGAAAAGACAGATAGTGAACACAAGGTATAATAATAATACAGGATATACGTATTATTTCATGTCGCATCAGGAAAATATTGGTGTCAGCTGTAGTTCTACATCCATTGAAAAGAAAAAGAATATAGTTACCAGGGAAGTAAGATTACAGGCAAACTCAAGGTCAGTGTTTTCATAAATGTTATCATGGTTTTGTTGAATTCCAGCCAGGACTGCAAAACAGTCGTTTTTTATTCTTCTCAAAATCGGTTTACAAGGCGCGAGTATAGTCCGGGGGTACTTTTAGTTTGTGCCCCCACCTTACAAACATCTGTAAAATTTCGCGACTTTGAGGATATATCTTTGTTAGTTTTCAACAAATCATTTTCAAACTTGGTTCGGTTCCTAATTTTAAAGGCGCTCTTTCCAGCGGAGTCGACGGATTTTCCCTAACTTGTCCATCAGTAAAACTGAAAGAAAACCGTGGAAAGGTCGATTCAAATGCATGCTTAGTAGTTTTTGTTGTATGTAAGTAGCATCCACACCAGAGGGGAATATTTGCGCAGAATTCTGCGCTGTTATCATTATTCCTGGGACACAAAGCATAATTCCCAAGAACTTCCCTGTCATTGGCGTTTTCTGGCCATGTGCTCTGTGCTCTCACCACTGCGCCACCTTGCTTCCTCATGATCTGCTTTGTGTGATTATTTGCAGTGTTACGCATTTAATGATGTTTTTGAACACTTCCTATCCAATCGCAATTTCCTTTATCAAATATGAGGAGCCTGTCACTCTGGATAATCAAGTAAGAAATTTCTCCTATTAATTTACTGTAAACTGCCACTGACAAGCTCCCCCCTGTCAAGTTATAGGTCCTATCTATCTGTAAACAAAACAAAACAAAACAAAACAAAAATTCGATAATAAGCCCGCCGGATATATGCCCCCTCCCCTCTAGCTTGTATTAAAGTGAAGTAGATTTATTATGAACTTTTGCAGCTTAACTAAAAACCATTAAATGCAAAACGTATTTTGATCAGCAGTGCTTAAGCTTGTATCGAAGCGCTTTTTCTTTTCCGGTTTTAAGTCCCCCCGGATATAAGCCCTACTAAAAGCTCTTACGAAGATGTATAGAAGCGGCAGTTTATGGTATTTGCAAAATTTCTATTTTTCTCCAGAACGTCGCTGACAAAGTGCAAAGTTTCACTGTAGAAAACTATCAGATGCTAAAATTCAAACACCTGTTTAAGAGTCAAGATAGTTGATATTTGTCTCTGTCAGTAATGTAGTTTAGTTTTTTGTCCAGAAATCCGTACTGAAATGATTGAGGCTATGTTCTGTCTGTCAAGCAAGGGTCCGTGTTTCTTTAGGTAAATATTGACCTTTGTTCTACATGAAAAGTGGCCATAGTTTTGACGCCAAAATGCAAGTAAAAATTTGCCATTTCTTTCTGTCAGTTAAATTGTTCAGGTTTTGTTCAGAATTCCGAGACGAATGGATTCGGATTCTTTTCTGTCCCAGTTCTGTACATTAACCCAACGTCTGTGTCGATTTTAATCGGTCTTTGTTTCTTGGAAAATGATCATAATTATATGCTTTTAATCTTTCTAATACCGTGGATAATCTAAAACAATATTCAGGTAGTATTCAAGACAACCCAGCTCTGAATGCGGATCAACTCTTACTTAATGTTTTCGGAGGCATTTAATGTCACGAAAGTGGAAGAAATAAATTTTGCGCCGGAAGTAAACTTCGAAGTTTTGCTGAAGCTTCGTCTCAAAGCGAACTAAATTTCGCGAAAATTTTCTTTCAATCGGCGCTACAGTTTGCATTTAACCGATCCTAACATAAGCCAAGCGGCCGAAGGTAAAATAAAAAGTAAACTGTCAAGTAATGAATAATGTAGACTGCGAACAGTCTCTCGTTTTCTTCAGGTTTAGTATGGGGAGTGCACGCGCGCGCGAGCGTTGAGCGGGGAAGCCGCGAGACGCGAGAAACGAGGGCGTCTCCCGTCTCGCGCCTTCAGTCACGCGCGTGATCATTTGCGTGTCTCGAGCGTTTTTCTTGACGGACGAAGAGAAAAGAGAGACTGCTCGTAGTCTAAGAATAATGGCGACTCGATAAGGCGCGGACCATAAGAAAAGTTATGGTGGGGTGTGGAACTTTTGGGCTGCATGAATATATTTTCGTTAACATTTCCCTTATGTACCTATCAATGTAAATCCCGTGGGGGGTGGGGGGGGAGTGCGGGCAAGGGGAGGGGATTTGATGCCTGGAACTATCCCCGCTGTCGGGCTTTTGATCGTGCGAAGCGACCCCGGGGTCGGGACATTTGACTTTGACCGACAGAAGCCTGATATCAATTCAGAAGCAGTTACCAAGTCCGTCCCTCGAGGCTTCCTGAAAGTCACGCTGTTGGAGAAAGGTATGAAGTTTTCATTTGTTTTAATCGCCATAATCCGATACTTTACACCGTCATCTAAACAGATAATGTCTATTTTGAGAAAGTTTTTATCTCCAAGTTCCCATCTGATTGTAAAACTCGATTGAAATCGAATTCCAGCGTGAAAGTCAGAGGATTTTTTATGGGTCACTGATCCGACCTGTTCCGACATGTTGAGCAGATGTTATAAAGCATTTTACGTTTTATTAATATTATATAGCACGGTCAATCTTCCTGGAGTGATTTTGTTGTTCAAGATAAGAGATGCTAGTGGAGAGATACTTAATTACAGCGAGTAATTTAATGGAGCTTCCGTTAACCGTAAATAAAGTAGTAACAACGTGTTTGAAATGTTCTTTTATTCGTTTTACATAGTATTATAGCATTGTTTGTTTAAATTTTTTCCCCTGGGGTGGGGGCTTTTTTTACACTTTTGATTGACCTTTCGTTTCCCACCCTGGGGAATTTGATCGAAAAATTTTAAAATTTGTCAAATCCCCACCCCTTCCCGCACTCCCCCCCCCCCACGGGGTTTACATTGATAGGTGCATTATTTCTTTAATTAATTTTCCTTTGCATGAACTTTTTATACTTCGTCCCCCCCCCCCGACCCCTATAACTTTGGTCCGTCTCTAAAAAGTGTTTTATTCTTTGTACCTCTTTTTGCTGCAGGTTATTGGGGCATTGATGATCTTATTGGGAGTGTATGTGCTCATCATATTTGAGGTACAAAATAAAACAAACAAGTGCCTTTTGTTCATAAAGGATTTTTAGAATAGAAATTTGTTAGAATCACCAGTCTCCCGCTATAAGGTTAGCCTGCGCCACAGACGGAACTAAACTTCTGGCCCCGGTTGTTAAAACGTTGGATAGCGTTATCCACCGGATAAATCACTATTCAGTGGATAAGTATTAGGAAAACCAATTGCACTATCTGCTGGATAGAGATGTATCCAGTGGATAGCTTATCCACCTTTTGAACAACTGGGGCCTGGTGAAGTCTGTCTGCGAACCATCGCCAAAATCCTTTTTCTTGACCCTCGCTTTGAATACGCGCTATGATTGGACTGTTAAAAAAGCCATTGCCCATTTGCTAATCAGATTGAAAGGAAATTCGGGACGCATTTCCCTTTATTCGTTGAGCCCGCTTGATGCTCAGGACATGGATCTCAGGCTACTTCGCAGACGCAGTTGTCCCTTTCGTAAACGGTCGCTGCCATTTTTAAGACACTTAGAAAAATTTGACTGTTATTGAAAGCGCTTACATTAAAAAGAAAGAAAATCGCAACTCAGGGTCGAACCTGAAACTCGGACCCGGACCTTGCATACCCTAATCTCTCTTCCCTACCACTACACTACCACAGCCGACCCGCCAAAATTCCGAAATGAAATTCAGTACATACAATAGCAAACTGTCTTTCGTAACTGTTACATCAATAACAGATGACCCTAGCCCCTTGCATAATTTTAAACGCAAACTCAACTTGGGCTTTAACTTCGTTCTTTCTAAGAATATTCAAAAACGTATTATTTACCTTATTGTAACTAAATCCAGGGAATGTATTACATCCATCATGACTAAAGGCTTGGTTACCAATGGTGGCATCGACCGTTTAAAATAGAGACCTTTAGGTTTGATTTCCACTGTCGTGTAATTTTTACGTGCGTACGTGCGTAAAATTTACGTTCGCAAATAAAATAGAGGCAATGTATGAAAGGTCGCATGAAAGCGTAAAAGTAGAACCTCGCGGAACTTCACGTTTAATCTCAACACTTTATAATTAATTATGATTAAAATTTACGTGCGTTAACGTGCGTAGCCAAAAACGTGTCAGTGGAAATCAACCTTTAGATTCTAGGACGAGAACGACTACGAGTACGAGATTTGATTTAAAGTTTTTCCGCGTATTGTCAAAAAATAGACACCCAGGAATTCTTCATTGTACTTTTTTTTCACCAGAAAAGTTAGCACTGTTATCTTTTTTGAAGGAGGTCAAGACCTCTCCCGATTGCAAAATACTAAAACTTCTCACATTTCAGTGATAACTTGTTCCCGCCACTACGACACTCTCGCTAAAACTCGTAGTAGAATGACGACGGCTACCACGTTTTCCCGCCAAAATGACGCTGGTTCACGCGCGAGCACTACTTACTATTCAGAAAATCTCGTACTATTAATGTCGTTCTCGTCTTAGAACCTAAAGCTCTAACGGCAACGGCCGTTTAAGAAAAGAAATTAGGCTTCGCAGAGGTTTCTAACGGGGCTTAGGTTACGTCTGGGACAAAGGCTACTACTTTAAAGTTAGTCGGCGTGAACTTACTGTTATTCATTCTATTAGGAAAGAAATGGTTCTAATTGTTTGTTTTGTAGCTTGTTCACAGGGCGACCGCTGCAATGGTGGGATCCTTAGCTGCACTTAGTTTCCTGTCATACAACAACCGGGTAAAGTTTTAAATAACCTGTGTACAGCCCCGGGGGGTACTCCCTTATACAAGCCATATCGGTATGCTCCGCCCTAAAGGGTAGGGTTTTTGCTCCGTTTTGGTCTGAAAACGTGTATAGATTTTGCCCATTTTTGTCCGGAATCGGGTATGGTTTTTGAGGGAACTACGAGAGTGTATGAACGTATTAATAGTTTCAATTCCAAATGAGTAAGAAAAAAGGAGAAATATGCGAATTCGAAATGGATTTTAAGAAATCTTTTATGTCGCTGCTCTAATCTAAGTAATAATGGCATAATTTTTTTGCAAAAATGATATTTTTTGGTCTGAAATAGGGTCAGGATTTGGAGGATCCGGGCGGCACACCCCCACCAAAGATTCCCAGGAGTATCCCCCCAGGGTGTACAGTCGCCCCCCTACCCTCTTCTCCCTTTTTTTCTAAGGGAAAAATGGTTATAGTCACCAAATAGAAACTTTTTACAAGCAGTGTCTGACCTAACTATGGAGAATAGGTTCTTCCGTAGACTATAATTGCAAAAAACTCTGGCCTGATGACCCGGTTGTGATGCACATCGATGGGAAGGTACACATGAGATTATCGCTCGGCGCAAATTTCCAGTTCTTGCGCCAATTTAACATTCTCGCTTCTTTTACCGCTCCTCACAAGGAAATACATCGACGATACTTGAGAATTCACAATGTTTGTGTTACCGCATCAAACTGCAAACTAGAAAACAGAATCTACGCAAAAAAGCTTCGAGCCATGTTTACTTCTAAAACCACGGGCATTCGAATGACCAGCGCAAACATACGACCGTTTCATCGTCTTTAAGTTTATACTAACAAGAAAACAATCTCCCTTCTCTTTCTTTGTTTGATGCATTTCCAGGGTTCGCACAGTCTTAAAAAGTCCTTGAATTTTAGGGGAAGTCCTTGAATTTTCTTCAACTTTGCTTGAATGTAGTGGCCTGGAAAGCGTTGTTTTGATGCTTTTTGGTTGTCTAAGACAGAATATAAATCATAGCTCAGAGAATTTGAAGGTTATTTACGTAAAGTGCGCTATGTTTTATGCAATAAGTAACTATCAACTTAAGGCAAGTGAAGTGACAAATGTAGAGAAGTTGGTGAAGCAAACAGTTCAAGCCTTAAAGTCTTATTAGAATAGACTGGGAATATGCATTTTTGTACCTGATCTGTGAAACTATATTCCTAGTACGTGGTCCTTGAAAAGTCTTTGAAAAATGGTTGCATTTTTTTGTATGAACCCTGAATGTTCTTTTGTTAATTACCCAGAGACCCTCGTTGGAGCTCATTTTAACATGGGTTGAGTGGGAGACTCTTTCACTGCTGTTTGGAATGGTAAGTGAAGAGTCTTACGTACTAGTACAATCGGATCAATTCAGGTTACTGGGAAACTGCCCACCTACCCCTCCCCTAAATCAACATTTTGCCTAAAACGAGAAGTAAGTGTTAATGTTGGCTTATGGGAGGGATAGGTGGGTAGTTTCCCAGAAACCTAAATTGATCGGTATAAATGTAATTTGTGATTACACCGTATTATCATAAATTACTATTTTGCCGGCACGTATCAGACGTCTGGGGAGGGTGTTAGTGCGCAGTGAGTCATGGGATTCGAGTTTGTAATTCGTGGTCGTTAGGAAGGTGAGGCATTCTACGGTCAGCCTTCACCGTGTTAGGTTGCTTTTCTCTCTTTTATTTTATTCGTGTGTTTATTGATGTTTATAGTTTAGGCACTAGCATACCCTAAAACCCCAAGGGTTGCACCACTGCCTTGGTCGGGGGTACACGTTCCCCGTGTTTTTTCCACCTGCTGGTTTTTTGGGGTTTTCGTGTCCGGCTTTGGTGCTTCTGTTCTTTCGTTTATAGATATTACTTGATATTTGTACATATCTGCATATATGTTGAATAAACGGCACGGGGGCTTGGCTGGCCCACGCGCCCATATATGAACTTTGTTGTCTTGTGTGTACCGGTTGAGTAGTGGAGGCAAAATTCCTTGCCTTGGAAACTGCCCACCTACCCTTCCCCTAAGCCAACATTAACACTTACTTCTCGTTTTAGGCAAAATGTTGATTTAGGGGAGGGGTAGGTGGGCAGTTTTTTAAAACCCCCTTACTCCCAAAAGTGGCGTAGGGCAAAACTCAACAAAATTTCCAAAATTTGTTTTGTTTAATGTTAAAAAACAAACAAACAAACACCACCAGGTGAAAATAATGCCAAAGACGTGTCGTTTGAATGATCTCACCATTGGATTTAGTCCACAGACTCAAAAGCTACAATCGTGAACAAAAGTCCTTGGGACAGTGGCTTAATTATTATATTTAACCGTTATTGGACTAGGTTGAGCAAAATATCGTGTTTTGTCAATGGCGAGTAGATCAGCTTTTTTTCCTCTTCTTGCCCGTCTCCTCGTCCTCTCAATGCTGTTAATCGCAGTTAATTCACCAACATTGGGAATGTGGGAAGACAAAATGTACCCCTATATGTTTAACTTAGACCGTAAATGAAAAAGGTACCAATAAGACCCGCGAAAGCCACTCAGAGGATGTTGAGTGTTTTTTCAAAGAGCCGACAAACGTACAGTGACATGAGATTACAAATGCAAAAAACACTTAAAGGGTGCAACTGTTACTCTTTTTAAAACATACTGTAACATTTTGCTTTCTTACGTTGGCAGATGATTCTGGTAGCTGTGTTTGCTAAAACTGGATTTTTTGACTACGTGGCATTGAAGGTTTGTGAGTAAAGCAAATGTGATGACTGTGTTATTCAACGCACAATTTGGCGCCATACCGGTTATAAGTAAAATTCCCCCCTTCCATAATTGCCCTGTGGCCCCTTGAAGACGTTAAGCATGTCTTTGACCACAACACTTATTGAGGTCATCGTTTTAATGTTCCCTGTTGGAGAGGAGGTCGCCATTTCCCCTTCGTCAGCCCGGAGCCATGCGAAGGTCCAACCATTAGCAACCCAAAGGCTTTATCTACATTTCTCGTTTTTAAGGCCCTGAGTATTGGTCCGACCCGAAAGGATCAAAACCGGGATAACTGTAATAGATTGTTTGTGTTATTTTAGGCGTACAAGCTGTCAAGAGGTCATGTGTGGGGGCTCATTACTCTTCTCTGTGCCTGTGCGGCGGTGATCTCTGCTGTTCTGGTAAGATCTCTGGGCCGAAATACAGTTAAATTTACAACAGAGAAGTTTTGTCGGTGGCTGGAGTCGTCAGCCAATAACCGCATTAGTCTTTTTCCAGTCATGTAATGTTAGAACTATCTTTCCCACGTCCATTCCCTCAAGTACAGAAAACATGTTTTGCACAACCAAAAAAGTATTCGTTAGTGTTCTTTTCTTTCTTTTTTTTGTTTCAAATAGGATAACGTGACTGTAATCCTGCTGCTGACACCTGTAACAGTCACGTAAGTATTGGTTGTTTTGAGGTCGAGGGTGGTTCGAATGGCACTATGGGATTGTTTTGAGTACATAATCGCTTTCTTTGTTGCAAGGTCGTGCAGGAAACTGGGTCAAAATTTGTTTCCCAAAACAGTCCCATAGTACCATTCGATACAACACCGACCCAGTCTCTTGCAACCTATAATGAAAGTATAAAGCTAGAGCTTGAAGTTAGCGGGAAGAACACAGGACATAGGTGTCCCAAGTCGCATTTATATATAAGAGAAACTTATGACAGTGTCGGGAAAACGTTTACACACCCTGCGACCAGAGCCTCTTTTTGTCCCTTTGAATGAGTAGGAGAAAAAGAGGTTGTGCCTGAATCAGGTCAAACCTCGCTAAAGCCTGAACTTCCGATCTAGTTAATCTTGTTAATTATCGTCAAACTGGTTTTCCGAGCGTGTGCATCCGTTTAGTTATAAACCGATGGTCTTTTCTGAGCCTGCTGTACCAAGTGCACGTTTATTAGTCCTGTGTTCAAAACTGCGTCGCAGAATCAAGGAGCACAAGAGTCTTTCTATAGTATGCTTAAAGTTAAAGAAAGGCTCTGTAGCGGGGTGATATTTACGAAGCAATAAATAAAGAAATAAATCCGTTATTTTAAGAAACCTTTGAGTTATTGGTTACAAGTTCATTTATTCACTTTGATACTTTGAAAGCTACTTTCTAACTTTTTTTGCCAATTTTAACGATGGTTGTTCCTGTTTAACATATTTTCACTGGACAAATACATAAATGCAGTCATAAGGATCCCATTACTCGGGGCACACAGAGTACTATTGCCCGCGAAAATGGAACTTCCGCCCCGAACGTGTGCACATCCGTAGTATAAACTATGAAAGCTGAAAGGGAAATCCCAGTTTAACGTCAAAATCTACCAATTTATGATCTGTACCCGGCCTTTTGCTGACTAGTTTGTGGAACTTTAAGGATAGTCTTGATTGGACCTTAAAATGAACGGTGCTGTGAAGACGCCGTGAAAAGAATGTAACGAAGGGAGCTGCTCGCTTCGATAGCGTTAGGGGCTCCTGGCCAGGTATTTTCGAAAGTAACCTGAAAAATTTGCATTGAAATTTTCAGATTATGTCAAGTGTTAAATCTGAATCCTACTTATATCCTGATAGCTGAAGTGATATTTTCAAACATCGGTGGAACAGCAACAGGTACTGTAACCATCAACAGTGTTTGAAGAGCAACAAAGACGGTAGAATTAGTCGTTCCGCAGAATTATAGCAAATATAGAGGTCTTCTACGACGCCGTTCTCTGGTTCGTCAAGTTCCATCCCTCTCCACTCACGGTTTCCAAAAAAAAACCGAGCCATATTCTTTCCAAAAGGTTGATTGATAAAACGCGTGCTGTGATCGCAAAAGTCTCCAGTTTGAGTACCTTGCTCCGCATTTCGCCTCGAGGTGTTTCGAAATTTGCGGAGCTCACCGTTTTCGCATAGACCATAATGCACCTTGTTTACCCCCCGCCCTCAAGAACAAAAATTGCATATCGATTGTCTTCAATTTCTCTTGGGACGACTGTGATACCCAGGTGAAATCGGAAACAATGCATGGTTATGCAAAATTTTGGTGGGTAAACAAAGTGCATTGTGGTCTATGTGAAAATGGTGATTGAAATGCGACTTGGTTTTCAGCAGGGAGTGGGGGTGGGGGACTGTTGCTTGACGACTCAAAGAGTGGCTTAGTATGAACTAAGATAGGCTGAGAATTACTATTTTGCACTCTTATCACCTTTTTGGGAACGAGGTTGTATAGTTGTTCCGTGTCTATGTGTGTGTTTATGTTATTTAGGCAATGTATATTACACTCTTATTTTGTTGTCATTTTCTTTAGCGAAATTCTACTTCTCTCTATCACTTTTGTGCTAAAGGGGAAGTATTATTTGAATTGTTTTTGCATTTTCTCCGTCCCCCGCTTTGCTATTTCATCAACAACTGGGTTAGAAGTACCAAAAACGCCCCTTTAATACAGTTAAGAATTAGAGTGTGTGGGTCAAACGTAATGTTGTTTGATTGAACGGACACCTAAAGAATGCAAGAATCACGGTGTTCTGTAGAACGTTAGACCAGAGACAATTTTAACATTATCTATGCACTGAAAACCACTTAGAAACTACATGTGTTAGCACAATTCAAGATGGCCGCTCGAAGGTTTGCTTGAAGCAATCCCATAAACACTCGCCCGTCTACTCTAGCACCCAGGCTTGCTCTCCTTTCTAAAGTGAGCTTTCCGTTAATGATCATGAAAAGTTGTAAATCCTGAAAGTTCAGAATTTATAACCGGTTTATGAATTTTTGTTACTACATTAATTTTTTCAGCGATTGGTGATCCGCCGAATGTTATACTGGTTTCTAACAAAGATCTTAGTAGTCAAGTAAGTGGAAATATGCAACCCATTGGGAGTTTTGACTTTGTCATAACTTCCCATCCATTCCTCATTTCGTTGTAACATCCATTTTTTCCGAGGCCACACTATATTTTGTATAGAAACTATTAGCCACCGTACTAATTCTACTCCTGTCTCTGAACATTCTAACCAAGCTAATCATTCCATCAACGACGTCCTTCTTGTTCCCAACCGTGACTTGGTCAGAAAGGCACGCGAACCCCATGGTATAAATAGACTTGTTGAACTTAAGGTGGCTAAACACAGTTTTGTGGGCGGTCAGCGGTAACTCGCGTGACGGCGCGTGTTTTAACTAGACAAACAAAAATGGCGGCGAAAAAAGCAATAGTACACAGAAGACGATTTCTCAAAATCTACTCATTAAAATTTTGTAATATTTGGCAGAATTTTTTCATTTATTCTATTTTAAGTAATGAAAACTTTAAAATGGAAGTTGAACAGACGAATTTTGTGACACATTTAATAATCACAGTACAATTATATTATTGATTGTCTTAAAGCCCTTCTGTTAAAATTTGGTCAAATTAGTTTCAAAGGGTAATGATTAATTGTATTAAGCTGTCTGCAGGTTTATAGGAAAATCTAATGAGCGAATTTTAAGTAAACTGAGCAAAAGGGAAATTTTAAGGTTGTATTCAATCGTTCATGTTGCCATGGAAACTACGAAAACGTCACATTTTACCTGTCAATCAAAATCTTTCATCAGTATATTTTTCACTTGCCAAGTTTCAGCTTGTGAGCTGCAACCTTTCTCTTGCCATGATTTGGCAGATGACATATACTCACAAACTGCCAAAACTGTGTTCAGCCACCTTAATTAGTGACATTTATCTTTTTTACTAGCCTTTCATTGTGTGTTTGCCATATATTCAAATCTTACCTCTGTAACGTTCATCTTGTAATTTGTATTCCTTTTTTTCACCCCTATTGAAGGTTTGTGTAGCAAACCAAAATATCGGGCAAATATAATTCACCATTTGATTTTTGTTTTCTTTCTTTCTTGTTTTTCTCTTACTCTGCCCGCCCTAAGGATCAGTTTATTGCCGCTCTAATTTATAAGTTGATATTGCGAACTTAGCCCAAAACGTTCTTCCAAACGACACTATTATATGAGAGTGACGTGAATGGAACTTTTTACTTAATCTATACTTAATGGAAACTGGAAATTTTTAGACAAATCTGAACAACCTGAATAGAACCTTTTTACTGGTACGGCGGCCATATTGAATTAGTTCGATTTAAGGAGTATTATGGGATGCCCAGGGGGTATGAGCACATTTCGTTTGTATTTTCGAGCGCTTTTCGGGACATTTTTTCTTAAAGTTTTCTTAGAATAAGATTGTAATGGGAAAAAAGATCCTTGTGCCCTGTTTGGATGTAATAATGATCGCCTTTTTCTAGTTTAGTATTAGAAATATGGTCTTTCACTGTATATTTTTCGGGAAAAAGGCGATCATTATTACATCCAAACACGGCACAAGGATCTTTTTTCCCATTACAATCTTATTCGAAGAAAACTTTAAGAAAAAATGTCGCGAAAAGTGCTCACAAATACAAACGAAATGTGCTCATGCCCCCTGGGCATCCTATAATACTCCTTAAATCGAATTAATTCCATATGGCCGTCGTATCGGTAAAAAGGTCTATTGCTGACGGAAAATAATGTGTTGATATTATAACCCTGTTAGGGAATCGACTTTGCAGATTTTACCAAACACCTCAGTGTTGGAATAGTTTTTTGCGTGATAGTGGCCTACGTAGTTTTAAGGTATGTTTTTTACACAGTCTACTTAATTCTACCTCGAAAACTTCTGTAGCTACAATCTCGGTCATAATTTGTTGAAACACTTCCGGAAAACACAACATAAACTTAGTAGTTTAATAAATACACGTATGGCTTCCTTCCTGCTCCCTGGTTTCATGTGTTTGCTTGGGCATAAACGTCTTCCAAATCAACATTGATAGGGAAAGGAAGGAAATCGAAGTCTCGAAGTATCGAAGTCTCTCGTCACGCTTCAATGCCATCTGGCCGGTCAAATCACATTTTCAGCCCCTTTGACTGTTTTTTTTTGCGGTGCATGGCCTGAATTAGCCCTCTCAAGTATTTGCAAGGGGCTTTTTACGATATATTCAGGAGGCTGAGGTGACGTCGCAGCCCAGCTAACTGGCCTGAAATTTGTCATACATTCGGCTCCTAAACCGGCACAATGAAGAATACATCGACGCTTTCTCAACGGACACCCTCGTAAGCGGCCAGCTTCAGTCGCAGGCACTTTTCTGCTTCCCAATATCCACGTTCAAATTCTTCACACTGATCCCCAGCATTTCCTTAAAAGATTAGTTGGGAGAATTTGATGAACGATCAAAGTGTTTTCCCGTCAGGGATCATTATATCAATTCTCATAGCCTCTTGTCTTGATAATGTGTGGATATTGCTCTCGGAGAAACTTGATGTTGGTCACTCGGGGAGCCTGAAGGGTTAAGAAAGCTTCAACTGTATCACGGTATTTTTACACTGATTCTGCTACCTCTGTGTCCTGCGTCCCTAACGCATAAGAATCTCCAAAGACGCAAAATAGTTCTACTTTACAACAGAAGGAGTATATTTTTATTTCAGTAAAATGTAAATATACAGAGTTTTGGAGTCAGATTAACTGTCTGGTTAAGGTACGGAAAAACGGGCACTGGCAACAACAATCATGCAACTTGTTTTGCAACACTGCTTCAAAACGAATTGAATAACGATATTTAACAATTATTCCTCGAACCCGAATGGGCTCTGAGTCAATAGCCTATGAAGCCAAAGGCCGAATCGGCTATTGACTCAGGGGCCATGAGGGCGAGAGAAATAATTGTTTTAGTGAAATCCAGCTTGTTGGTCAAAAATATCGAGAATAAAAAAAATTTACCTAGTTAAAGCTGGACTTTCATCCTTTTTTGCCGCCAAAGAGCCTGCGCTTTTCGCTACTAGTGGGCTATTACATATAGCCTAGTAGTAGCTCAACCAATCAGAACGCAGCATTGATAATAGACCACTAGTTGGATTTTACTAATGCGCGTTTTACCACCCACAGGAAACCTGTCTTGCAAAAAATCAGGTTGTTAACAGGTTTGAACATGGGTGGTAAAACGCGCAACATCGCTAGTCAACTCGTTTTGCAGCAATGGTGCAAAACAAGTTGCACGGGCAGCAAGGCCCAATTTAGGATTCTTTGTTTTTTGAACTTGGACTCATTGCTTATGGACTCACTACTTGAAACGAAGTTTCAGTTACAGCGGTGCTTTGTTGTGGAACTCTTTACCCGAAAATGTGAGAGAAATTAAATCAGTCAGGAAATTTAAAGAGCAAATCAAACATGTATTTGAGTCGTCGGACTCTCACTCGGCAGTCTTGCAAAAGAGTATGTCGATAGTTTTTAGTCTAATTAATTGTAATTAGATTTTTACTCTATTATTACTGAAGATTTTACCGAGTTTTAAATAAAGAATCTACCTACCTACCATTACTATTTGTAACAAAATCACTGTTTTTAAATTGGTTTGATATCCACTGATTGATGCTCTTCTTGCGCTCTAATAGCCTGTTTCAGGCTCCAAAATAGTACAGGAGATCGCTCGCCGTCTTATTTTTGCGGCGTCACGGACTATCTGAGAGCCTTAGATCACACAAGCTAACGCTCGGACTGCGAAGTTAGCTACCTACGAGGGGACTTGCGTACGTTTTCTGCGCTTGCTGGGTAAATATTTAAAGGACCTGGACGTTTTGATAGAAAATTAGGGTGCTTTCAAACTAATACCCCCCCCCCCCCAACCACCACCACCACCACCACCATACCACGCCACGTCTCCTGTGAGAATCGCGCACAATGCGTTCCGCTGGCCGGGATAAGATCTACCTGCGCTATAACCAACTGAAAGACGAAGTTAGACGAGGGTACATTGTGAGACAGTGCGAAAGTATAATGTACTGGACAAAGAAAAGATTGTTTTATCCGCAGCACTCGTACGAGGGTGAGGCTGTCAGTCCCGTACTGGTGGTTTTGGGTCTATTTTAGAACTAGATATTAATTTTACTAAACTCTTACAATTAAGATGAATGTTTTTCTATTTTTCCCTCTGGTGATGAAGGTTTTTGATTATTTTCTTCACCGTCGAACGCTGAAATTTGTTTTTTTCTCTTCTTAAAGTTCAAACTGACTTTCTCTCTCTTTTTTTTTTTGCAGGCTGCTTTACAGGAATGTGAAGATCGTCAATGATGACCCACAAATTATCGAAGGTACATCATAGTTAACAAATCCATTCCGTCTTGCCGTGTCTCTGTTCAGTAAAAGATCACAAGTCTTGAAAATGTGGTTTGTTGTGCTCAATATGAAGTTGCGCAAGAGACTTGGTCGGTGTTTTGTCGAAATGCACTATGGGATTGTTTTGTGGGACGGATTTGGACTTCATCTCGTACCCAGGCCCCGGTTGTTCAAAAGTTGGATAGCGCTGTCCACCGGAAAAATCGCTATCCAATGGCTAAGTTTTACAAAAACTATATTACGTTATCCAATGGATAGTGATCTATCCGGTGGATAGCGCTATCCACCTTTTGAACATCCAGGGCCAGATCTCTTGTTGACGAAGCCGAAGCAGAGGTCTAGTCAAATCCAATTTTTCCGCGTGATTACCTGTCAGGAGTGTGACAGGTGATGTAGGAGTCCATGCGTGAACTAAATGCCTAAAACCGCGGCCATTTTTAGACCTGTTAAACAACGAATTTGATAGAGCTGTGAAGTTTTCTCTAACGAAACGAGGTTATACGCACATCTTAAGTATGAACCAACTAATTTGTAGTTGTTGTTGTTGTTTGAAACATCAAATTCAACGCGGTAGTTAGTTTAAAGTTAGTTATCATAGCGCGCCCTAAAAGCTCAAAGCAGTCTTAAAAATGGGTTTTACAAGTTATATTGAGACGGAAAACTACTTCTTCAGTGAAAGACTTTGCAAAGAATAAACTGCAGACGCCACAGCGCGCGCAGGAGACAACACTCACGTCATTCGCTCTCAATCAAGACAATAAAAAAGAACTGAATTTTCTTACTCGACCAGATCTCGCCTTCGGCTTTGTAAACAAGAGATCTGGGGACGAGATTAATTTTGACCCAGTTTCCTGGCGGTTGTGCTTGAATTTATAATAGCGTTTCCAAAACAGTCCTATCTCATATCCAGATCTCTTGTCGACGTCTTCGGTGTTACAGTGACATGGGCATCCCCGCGTTTTGGGCCTCTCCATTCCCAAGACCCTAGTGATAGGGGCATCCCCTTCTCATATTACCTTAGCGATTTGGGTTAGGGTTACAGGGGATGCCCATATCACCAGGTGTTTGAGAATGGGGATGCCCAAAACGCGGGGATGCCCATATCACTGTGACATTGGCTTCGTCAACAAGAGATCTGGTTACGAGATTAAATTAAAACAGCCCTACAGTGCAATTAGCCTTTGGGGCTCGTTCGTCACGCATTCGTCACGAACGAACCCCAAAGGACGTCTGCGGGGAGGCTAATAGTACAATTTGACACACAAATTCTTTCGTGAGCGACTTCCTACAAACACACCAAAATTGACGTGCGTCGCTCAAAAACGTAGCTACTTAAGCTCCCTAATAATTGATTCAGCAAGTTATGTTGTCGTCGTTCTTCGTAGAGTTGAGAAGAGAAGCAGAAATCTGGAAGAAGTCAGCGGAACGTCTGCTTGTTGTCTCCGCGGAGGAGAAAACAGTCAAACTGTTGTTGATGCATAAGGCCATGCAACTGGAACAAAGGATCAGGGATATGAAAAAAGCAACGTAAGGACGATTTGATGAGGGCTACGATAGTTTTAGTCTTTGCATTTTGGGTGCTCGCTTACAGGAGGTTCGACTGTATTGACGTTTATGAGTTGAAGAGCAATTTATTACAATTTATGGGTTACAATGATAAGGAAGAGGAAACAGAAAAGCCAAGGGATGAATTGCAATAGAATCCTCGACCCCATGTTCTAGCATATCTCGACTAATAGTAAACAATTTAAAAAAAAGACTCTAAAAAAACACAATTTGACTCTAAAAATGTTACAAATATTCATTAGTAAATTATTAATAAAAATAATAATGGAAGAATAGTAGGAAACGATTAACATTGCGCACAAAACTTGCAAAGAATGTTCTAAGCCATTAGAATTTCTCAGCTCGTGAGCAGTCTATTTTTTCTTTCTCGTTTTTTGTTTTTTCTAGATCAAGACAGGATAACTTTCAAAAAAGTCTGCGAGATCTGGAAAAGAAGGTAGGTGCAAGGTTAATTGATCATACTAATAATTTATGAACTTATAGTGCGCAGCTTAACGTGCGAATGATCAGCTGCGCATTACAACTGCATTACTTTACTTTATTCGGTCAGCGGTCAGCGATGATGATGGCGGCGTCTTTTGAAGCTGGCTAGTTTTGTGTTATTTGTTTCCTTTTTTGTGTGTTTAAATAATTTAGTTTCTCGTGTTGGTGTCTTTTATTTGAATATGGAACGATCTCCCCTTTTCTATTCGCAATAAATCATCGAAAATCCTGTTCAAAAAGGCACTTAAAATTATTATCTTGCTCAATATTGACTTGTGTGTGTGTTCGTGCGTGCGTGTTTGTTTTTTAATGAATATCAAAGCTATATTAGAATAAAGTCAATCCTGTTAAAGGGCCGTAATTAGTTTTCTATAATGTGCCCTTCTCCTTTCTAACTTTCTTTTTTTTATTATGTACACGTAGTTTAATCAACCTTGTACTAATTGATGTTGTACAACTAATGAATCATCTGTAGGATGGAGTAAAAAAAAAATACAAATACAAATAGAAGACAAACAAAAGATAATGCATTTAAAAAAATAACAATAAAAAGAGTATCTATGCCTGCAAGTAAGTAACTGAATGTAAAATTCATCACCAATATACAGTTCTAAAAAGATAAGTCTTACATAACAGATGATTTATTTTCTTCAAGCTCGTCAGGCTGATTTACAGCCAAGTGCCCTAAATAGTCCAGTTTCGAATTAAAAATTACCGCTGAATATAAACATTAACGACACATTCATACAGGGTTAGCCTCGACGTAAAGTAAAATAATCTGAAATTCTGGCAAGTAAGTGTTTGAAATTTGAATATACACAATAGACAGAGTAATAAACAGGTCTTTTTCTCGTTGGAATTTGTGAATATATTACTTCAGATTGAGGCTAAGGTTGTAAAAAATGCGTCTTCACTTCTTTAATTCAGCGGTCACAGCGAACTCGAAAATAGACTATTAATACATGTCTCAAGTATACATTTACATAAGGAGATGCGTCACCATGATTCTCTCTTTGCTTTTCAGTATGTCATTCGAGACAGAGTACTGTTGATGAAGAGCTCTGTGGTGATCATTCTTGTTATCATTTTGTTTTTTATCCAATCATTTGTACATGGCCTTGATCTTAAAGTAGGTATGTTGCTAGGCTTTACTTTACGTTCCTTTAATCACCATTGGTTACGGTATTTTTGTCCAGGAATTTGATTGCCTTTGGACCTGGACAAAAGTCCTTGGGACAGTACTGCAACATTCATATTTTTCCGTCGTTTCTCGGTTCCCTCTTAAAACAGTGCATCATTTTCGAAATTTCTTGCAGCTCTCCCTCTCCCCACCCTATGCAAAGTTGAAACTCGGAAAAAATTCTGGATACACGAGTCCAACATTGTTTGTGGGGGGAAGGGAGGGTCTGGACCTGTTTGACTTGGAAAACGCCACAGAAACGCAAAAGTGTCCCTAGACTTTTGTCCATGATTGTAGGCACGGTTTGTGACAATCCCGCAAATAAGTTTCACTTAAAACGTCCATATGTAACTCACAGTGAATTCTCTCTTAACCGACGCGCTTAGTGAAAGGACATTTCCCTGAAAGGGACTCCGAATCATTTTGAAAGATGGTGATTATTGATCACCTAAAACAGGATGTTTTATCACTGCTGGTCCTGGCAGTATTCGAAGAGGAAACCGGGCCAAGTTAACGTTCACAAAGACTCCTGGGACTGTTATTGGCAACAGGGCGAACAAATTGGCCAAAAGCTGACCTGCGCGTCTCCAGTAACGATCCCAGAATTCTTTGCAAAAACTAACTCTGCCGGGCCCAGTTTCCTCGTTTCTAAAGTGCAAATATAGACGCATGTCACTCGCGAAACTAGTCAATGCCAAATCTGACCATGCGCCTGTCCTTAGTTCATGCGCCTTAGAAGACTGGATCAGTGAGTAGGAAGTTGTAAATAAGGATTGCAACCCGGAGAGCACAATCTCGTTCCCAGTGGCTGCGATGTTTTTGGTCAAGCGAAGGCTCTGGGAAAGAGATTGGGGCGAGATTCGTCGACTGTTTCCTCGTTTATATTTAAATAAGCCATGGGTTCGAATCCTGTCAGGATCTCAGAGTTTTTAGTTGTCCCACGCTGTCGTGTAGTTTCAGATTCGTTTTCTTTTCTTTCCTCTGTCAGGTTGGATAGCCATTCTTGGAGCTATACTCCTCATCTTGTTAGCCGACGTAACGCACTTCGAGGATCTTATGGAACAAGTGGAGTGGACAACTCTTGTTTTCTTTAGTGCCTTATTTATTTTAATGAAGGTTAGCTTGATCGCGTTCAATTGGTCTTATACCCTGTACGTTGTGTTTTCCCTTTTCAGACCACGTGATGGTACTGAGAACCGTTTCCTTCAGATGTCGTCCTATAGACTTATTTATAAATAATTTGCATAATTTATGAAATAATTTGTATGCATAATAATTTGCATAATTTGTATGCATAATTTATGAAAAAACAAAAGGCAAATTCCCTTGAGAGTATCACGTAGTCTGTTTTGGGAAAATTAAAACATACAAGCTAAAAAGGTCTCCAGTTTTTCACGTTAACCTGCAAACCGCAAAGGGCAGTTTGGTGTTTGGCGGCCCCTGCTCGTGTAGGTACACGTCTTTAACCTGGAGCAAACTTTGAATAAATTTGGTTGAGTTATTTCAAGTGAAGAGGCCGCCATATTGAATTTCCAGACGACAGCAATGTTGAGTTTTCAAATGGCAGCAAAAAGTCCTATTTTCACTCATTCACGACAAATAACACATAGTCTTGTACTGAAATGACTGGTCTACAATACTTTGTTATCAGTACGTGACATAAACAGAAATTACGGATATAAAAACATTCACGTAAATCACTTACGTGAAAACCCACCTCCAGGTGTTAAAAGCGTGCGTTAAGGAACTTCAAACGCCACTGCAAGGTTTGGTCACGTGACTTCCAGAGTTTTGCCGTTTGAGGTTTCTGCTGAAAGCCTGGGTACCAAATTCTTCTTATTAAACTTAGTCAGGAGCCCATAAGCTGGAGCGAGCAACTTCCATGTAGTTGTGTCACGGCGTTTCCATGGACCAGTTTATTTTATTATAATAATAATAATAATTTACATTTATATTGCGCAAACCTCTATATGAACATATTCGGTTGCGCTTTACAACAATATCGTTATATTAAATTTATGTTAAAGCATGAGAAACTATTAAAAACTACAATAGAAAGTATTAAAAATTATTTTAAAAAAATTTTAGAACGGTTTTGGCACGATTTTAGAATATCTTTAGAGTCCCACAAACCAGTCAGCGAAATCTATAGACGTAAAAGTGATAATTTTTGCCTTTTATTGACGCTACGTTTTCCTTTTTGATATCTTACACTTCGAATGCGGTAATAAACGTGGCGGCGATGCCATTTTCGCCGGAAAAATTGTCCTAAAATGTGTCTAAAAATAAACCGGTCCGAATAAACGCTGTGACATAGGCCTAGTATGGGAGATGCTCGCTCCGAGCTATGGGCTCCTGACTTAGTTTTACTTTAAATCTTCATTTTTGAGAGACTAAGCTCGAATCCGGTATACAGGAGTAAAAGACCACTTTCTCCCCCGATTTAGAGAGCCAGTCATGCCATATTATGTTCAACGCATTTTTTGAAAAGCTTTTGTTTGGAAGTTTCTTTACGTGTGTGAAGAAAGTGTTTGAGAGTGGATGCAGAAGAGTGTCGGTTGCAGATCGTGTGCCGCAAAAATATGGCGTTCTGCGCTATGTTACGAGTTAGTACCAATCTATGCAAGAGCTTTTTTTTGCGCGAAATGTTGCATGATGTCAACGATGAGCATATTTTTTGGGTACGTTTCCGTGCGTACAGGCGCCATCTTAAAGGCAGGGAAAGATTGGGAAGAGACCCTTTTACCCCTTTCAGACGTGCTTCATATGACCTTGTCACTAAACCATTCGTTAATTGCTGTTGTTTCAAGTCACTCGATGAACTAGGGCTCATGGAATTTCTTGGTAACAAATCGTCCAAGTTAATTAAGGTAATTACTGCTGTCTTCTATATTTCTGCCCGCCACAAGGTGGAAGGAAAGTTGTAAATGTGTTTAGGGAAGCTCTCTTTTGCACTTGTTTAATCAACATAAATAACAATAATAATAATAATAATAATAATAATATCGTTTATTGTTTATTGTTTGTTTGCCATAAATTGTACAAATCAAATAAAATCTAATTATTTAAACTCTCATGGCGAGGAAGCCCAAGAGAAGCCACCGGGCTTATAAGGAATGGGCTCCCTCCGTTAGATAATTAGAACAAAATATTGTCATAATTGCACATGGGAAAATCAATGGCAGAGCTACAGTAAATCTTAAAATAAATATATTAGATAGTCGTACTAATCATATTTCTAGGCTGAAAAAAGCGAAATGACAATAATAATAATAGTTATGACGATGTTACTGGTTCATTTAGCTTCCTAGACAGCACATTATTTTCTCTAAAGTTAATTAATCTTCTCAGCTTAGTATGCTCCTCTACGAGATTGTAATATCAGCCCAGATTACATTGATAAAAGCGTGATATAGATTATTTTATTCTATTCTATTCTATTCTATCTTATTGATGATGACGATGATGATGATGATTATTATTATTATTACTATTATTATTATTCTTATTTATTTTTGTTATTTTCATACATGAAAGCGATGCTAGCCTTCACCTTCTGTGAAAAATTCCGTGTTTCTTTTTATTTCGAAACATATTTTTTCACTGACGACATTTTTTTCCTCTTTTTCATTAAGGACATGAGTAAACACACTGGCAGTTGCGAGGTATTAACCGAGGTTTTAACCATTATTCTTAAAATGTAAATTCATAGCCAAAAAAACCCGGTTCATGCATTCAAATTCTCCTCAGTGGTGTCCACCGATACGTCTAATACTATTTGGGAGAATTTATAGTTATTTACTGTATTTTAACATACAAAATCGCAATTAAACCTCCCGCAATCTATGCAAATAGTTTAACACTCGGATTACACTAGTGAGCTTAAGCAACTACGACGACGGCGAAGAGAACAACCTCAAAGAACAACAGGTTTAATGATCAAAACAACAGCTCTGTACGTGCATCACGCTTTTAAGTACATTTCTTTGACGTCTACTGCACGAGTACGATGTGAAACCTCCTAATTTGACGTTTTATCGAGAACTTGGACATACGACGACGAACTTACATTCTTTTTTTTTATCCTGAATAAAAGCTGTAAGAATTCAACTCCAGGAAAAGTCGCCTGCATTTAACATTTGGAGCGGGTCCAAATAGACGCGACTAAGTTTGCAAGAACGCAAATTCATTTGTAGCGACGTTTTCACTGCCGTCGTCGTCGTTGCTTAACCCTTTAGGTTCCAAGAGTGACCAACATCAATTTTCTCCCAACAACATCAGCAGATCATCAAGAGTAAAGGTTATGAGAATTACCTAATTGATTACGAAAGGGAGAACGCTTTGATCTTAAACCAAATTCTCTTAACCATTCTGAAAAGAAATGTATGGAGAACAGTCTGGAGAATTTGTATGTGGATCTTGGGGCTTAAAGAGTTAAGGTCTGTTGGAAAGCTCCCGGTATACGGGCTAAGTATTAGGCTGTGTTCACACTTGCTGCCCAGCACGGTGTTTGACTGTAGTGCTGACTCGCCACTTATGTAAACACGCCACCCTCTAAAATTGGCGGGAAAATAAGATACCTAGCCCTGGTATGAGAGATGAACGTGCTGGGGTTATGGACTCCACCCCACAACCCCCCCCCCCCCCCTTCCTTCCCACCACCACCACCACCACCTATAGTACTAAAAAGCTCCAACTGGTACAAAATTTCTCAAACTTTGTTTCATGTCCTTGCAGGCCGAACGTGGTTTCGCCGTAATCGTCATTTTGTGGGTGTCAGCGCTGGTGTCCTCTTTCATAGATAACATTCCATTTACAACGGCGATGGTAAGAAAGTTAATCGAGAGAAAAAATTTCAGTTCTTTAATCCCGATTTTCTGACTTACATTTTATCTTAAGAGACCTTTTCACCCACACCGAAGCCATGCTGAATAAATTCGTTAGACTGATTAGACTTATTTTGGGATGCCCAGAAAAGCTTTTGAAGAAGGAAGGTAACCTTTCTGTGATTTCTTTTTAGGTTGCAATGACTGCTAGGTTCCTGAAGTAAGAGTAAAATTTAAGACATACTTTTCAAGAGACCAACGATCATTTTCAGACCCAAACACAGCACAAAGATCGCCTTTACTCTTTGGAGTTCCTAAGCCATGTTTTTTTTACTGGATCTTTGTTCTTTAACAGTCACGTGTTCCATCGGTCACGTGATGTTCCTAAAAATCACGTGACAAACTCCTCTTTAACTCGGCGTTTATACTTGTATTTATATTGGCTTTCAGATTCCAATCGTCTTAGAGTTAAAAAAGAAAAATAATTTACCACTTGATCTTCTGGTGTGGGCGCTTGCAATGGGGTCTTGTTTGGGAGGTAGGTAGCCACCGATTTAATCATTTCTTAACAAAACTAGAATTTGTAAGAATTTATTACAAAGGTTAACATAGCCTGAATTTCATCCGATTACTTCGAGTCGTTATTACTCCCTCAGTAACGTACGTTGTTGAGAGGAGAAAACGACTCGAAGCAATCGGATGAATTTCAGGCTAAGGTTAATATAGAATGTAGGAATTTTTTGAAGGATTTTAGTTCTGTTTGGTCCTGTAGTTTAGCAGCTGTTATTGTCTCAATGAGGCTAAACAACAAATGCATAATAAAACAGCTGAGTGATTTATGGTTCTATCAATTTACTTTTTCACAGGAAATGGAACTCTGATTGGTGCATCAGCTAATGTCGTGTGCGCCGGGCTCGCAGAACAGTATGGATATCCAATCACCTTCAACAAGTTTTTCAAGTAATTTCTTTTTTTCAGAATTTACATTATCACAGTAACACTAGTTGTCATAGTTTAATGGGATTTAGTTCCCTTCTGCAGCAACGTAAGGAGCGCGTTCCCTAATGTAGTTGCGGAAGCAGAAAAAAAATCGTCAGGCCATTTTTACGATGACGACATTTGATTGCAACTGCCAGGATTCATCTCGTTTTGCTTTCTAATTTAACCGGCCGAGGTTTAAAAAAACAGTAACTCTAATAGGCCATTTCCGAGTACCAAAAACTCTCACTTTCAAAACGAGACCTAGTACAAAACCTTTGTTGTGAACATGATTTTTATTTGCATGATAATGAAAGATCATTCTCATATCAATAGCTTTGCCTCGCATTGAAACAGAGGCTTGATGCAATAGGCAAATAAGCCGATGAAAGCAACAAACTGAAGGCCTCTGGTAGTCGTAGTAAAATGACGTCATCGTGCAAACTGTAATTCTCCTTTAGCACGAGAATATCCAACTCGGCTTGCGCTTTTTGGGACAGCCGCTGACATGACGTTGGCGAAGAGAGATTGCAAGACAGAAAGATTGAATCAAACCCTTACACTGAAATACAATCAAGTAGAGATGAAAAGAGAAACATGCCCCCCCAAACCCCGCCCACCAAGCAACGCGAATTTACCTCTGCAATAATCTGATCTTATTTCAACTTTTATTGATCAATCTGACTGTTTTCTCTGCAGGGTCGGGTTTGTCATTATGCTTGCAACGACGACTACAGCAACGATATATCTCTTGATTGTCGAAGTTTTGCTTCCAGGATGTGACTCAATGTCCTGAAAGTCCTTAAACGGCAAAACTGATGACACTCCAGTTAAAAAATCAGGGTGCGTCGTAGTTGACAACACCCAAGCGGCTGCTACGGATTAGCATATACAGCTATCCTGGCCTTTTCCAGGCGTTAAGTTAGTTGGGAGTGGCGCGAAGTAAAAAAGGGCGCGAAAAAATATGAAAACGAGGGAGGGGGAGAGAGGCAAGAGAGGATTCCCTCGCCACTCTTCCCAGTCCCCCTTTTATTTTCCTCACTTTCTTTACTTCGCGCCCCTTTCAACTATCTGAACGCCTCGAACAGGTTACCTAACCATACTCAGTAGTGGTTATCGCTCTAGATGAATACTGATTCAACAGTAAAAAAAGAAAAACTAGATTTGGGATTACGGAAATCACTTCAAAATCAACTTTAACTTAACTTTTTACAGGCAAACATATTTATGAGCATTCACTATAAAGATACGTAAAAGAAGAAAAAATAAGCTCAGGAACCAGGGACTTCCGAATTACAAGCCCGGCGTGCTGCCTGGTGGGTCATGCTAAATGCCTCGTTTCATAAGAGATGATATGCTAAGTGAGGAAATATTCTTGATATTAATTATGAGTAATTAGTTAGCAAAATAATCAATTATTCAATAGTCGCGCGCAAATACAAACAGTGACTAAAGTTAAATAGGGTAGTAAAATTTACAAATTCTAAAGTAAAGCGGCCTCAAATTACGTCAAGTCACAAACGCAAACAATCGATGCAATAAGAATCCCAAATTTAGGGTGCTCTTCCTCAATAAAAACGAATCTGATTTATTAATACAACTAGAAATATCCTAAAGCGCGAAAGTAACCTGAGATCAGGCTCTATTTTCGTGTCGCTTTGAAAATTACATTCCGACGGGCAGAGAATGTATGACAACCGCTAAAATTGGGCCCTATCTCAGGTTAGCGCGAAAGGTGTGGCTGGGCACGGGTTTGCCACGTAAATAGCAAAAGATTCCTCGCATAAAAGTTACGTAAAGCTGCTAATACATTTTACTGAGAAAAACGTGAAAATCAGAGAGATGTGTAAGGAAAAGAACTGAGTATAGGGTTAACTACCGAAGTATAAGGGTTTAGTACTTTTTTAAAACGGTGAGCTTTCATATAATGGGATGAAATTGCCATGTAAAGTACCCTTAAAATAGCCGATGTCGGTAGTCAGCCTAGTGGATACAGAACAGTATGGATTGTGATTGGGAGTCAAAGGTATAATGCTGTCCCTGTTAGAGCTTTTGAATTTTTACCCCCTGAAGTTAATAATTTCAGTTTCGACGTTGAATTTCCAACTTGGAAATTTTTATTGAGGAATTTTTACATTTTTAGTCGGACACGACCCTAGCTGGTATACAACCTTAAAATCTCAACTGCTACTTTCAAAAATGCCTAGACAAATTTCTATCGAAAAGAAACAAAAAAATGAAACGATAATGAAAATAAAAACAATTAAAAGACTGTGGTTTTAGAGAAGAAATCCTTTCTTCAGTCCTCCGAAATTTGATTTCTTCTTTTTCGTTTGTGTTTGAGGGTTTGTGGGATTTTCTAGTTTCTCTGATTCATCTTTTCTGGTTGTCTGAATTGCGCTTTTTACCGCGGGTTCTTTTCCCGCGGCGTGGTTAGAAGCATCACCCAGAACTTTCGTCATCTGCGCTCTCTCGGGTTCTGTAACGTTGCTCATGCTCTCTTGAATATTACCATCAGTTTTTGAAGTTTCACTTACATGCCCATGGTTGGTGTCTTGGACCTCCCGATCGGCGCCGCTCTATTGTAATATATAAGACAATTAGTGCTATGAGGTATAGACCTTATTCACGATCCCCGCCATCTTTGTGCGCACTATGGGATAGAACCAATGTCACGTCGTTTTTCTTGGGGAAAACAAGTGGAAAAAATTTGCCAATGCAAGAAATCGAGGTCGAGTTTATTTTAGACAACAGAAAAAGAAGAACGGTTTTTTGTCTTGGAAGACGATGATGGCAAATTTTGGGTGGAATTAAGTGGTCGTTGTTATTTTTCTGAATGCAGTAGTGACTGTAGATGTGTCCTCATAGAAAGCAATAATGACGTGAAACTTGTCGAAACTTGAACTAAATATTTTGCAGGTCTATAATTGCCGTATCGTTTTGAGAAGATAAGCGTGACAGTGCTTTTATCCCATCAGCCCTTGAGCACGCGCGAGCAAAGATGGCTGGTATCGTGAATAAGGTCTGTTGATCAGGCCTCAGTTGCTCCAAGGCTGGATAGCGTTATCCACTGGAGAAATCTCTATCCAGTGGATAGTACATATATTTTCCCTAATACTTATCCGCTGGATGGTGATTTATCCGGTGGATAGCGCTAGACTCTTTGTGAAAAATGCGCGTGCAGCAAAAAGCCTTTCGTCTTAATTCCCCTTTTTATCAAAGGAACATCAGTTTATGCAATCAATAATCATAGTTAACTGGAAGATTTCCTGTTGGTTTATTAGGTGATCATATGCGCATTTGAGTCATCACCGCGTGGTTTGATCTTGTGGTTTGCTCTTAGTAGCTTTGCGATTCTAGTTTTTTTTGCCTTCTTTTAATTTTGTCCCCTCCCACTCTCCTCTCGGTTCCTTGAAGCTCCTGCGTTAAGTTGAGTTCTTTCCAAGTGTTTATTCTGTGATCAGACTAAAAAGTGCCATGCCAGGAGTAGGTAACCCGTCAGAGGTTGTCAAGGTTACCCCCTTGTTGCAGCCTTTCGCTGCCTTATCGCCCACGTTGCTCTTAACTGACACCTAACCTCCACTTAAATATTACTTATCGACAACTTAACCAAGCCTAACGCTTTTGGAAGCCATTTTACTTGACTTCTATGGGTAAAACATCACTTTCAAATTTCCTTTCAGAGAAGTTGAGATTTTTTGTGCAATCCTCTGCAATTACCTGGCTTGCGCTGCTATTTTCTTGGCTGTTTCTGCTAACATATTTCCTGTACAGATAATATCCAGCTCCTGCGACCATCCCAAGGCCAAGACATGTTACAAAGATATCCTTAAAGTTTCCCATCACTTTTTTGTAATTTGTAACTGAAGAACAATGAAATAGGCTGCTGCGCTCTGCTCTCAGCAAACTTTAAGGTAATTACGTCCTCGAATCTGTTTGTGATGTAGACGTGACGTCACAAATTGTTTAATTCGCAGATTTCTTAGCCCAGCCAAGGCCTTCAAAGAACAAGGGAGCGCGAGATAAAACGGCAGAGGATTGGGGAGAGCCGGGGAAGGCACCCTTTCTTCCTCCCTTCCTTCCCCCGTTTTATTTCCCCAGATCCTCCAGGAGGCCTGAGTTCGAGGACCAGGAGGCTCTGGGGACACAGGATTTGAAGTCCTAGATTTTAGCACTTCCGGTCATTTCTGCTTTTTTAGAGAATCCTCCAACTTACTTTTGAATGGGAAATGACCGGAAGTCCTAAAATCTAGGACTTCAAATCCCTTGTCCCCAGAGCCTCCTGGTCTTCGTGCTCAGGCGCCGAGGAGGCTCTGGGGACGAGAATGATTTTTCCCCCGCTCGCTCTTCCTTTCTAACCTCTCTGAGAGCCAGGATTTCCAAAAAGCCACGAACTTGATCAGAGTTCTCAGTCATTGGTTGGCTTTCATGACGGCAGTGGTTTGCGAAATTAAGACGAGCTATGTACTTGGACAAGATAACGGAAAAGCAAAATTTATTTTTTTCCTCCTGAAAAGACGTAATTTTGTCTTCACTACAAAACGGAAAAATAACTCGCTCAAGGCTGAGGAATGGGGTGTTGGTTTTAGCCCTGACACAGAACCCTATTAGATCTCCCCCCTCCCCGAAGAACAAAAAAAGTAGGGACCATGCAACCGCGATTAATGCTGTAGAGCAGACTTGGGCTACTATGGCCTGTAATTAATCGGGAATCATGAATCATCACGCAACAATCGTATCCTAAGACGACTTCGATATGTGCCTGCATCAGAATCAGCAGCGGATCCAGAAAAAACATTTTGCGGCCCTTCGGGCCTCATTTTGGTCTAAGGCTCCTCCCTTGGACCCGCCACTGATCACACAATGATTCATTCTGTAAAACCACGAGACTACGCAATCAACAAAAGTTGGCTAGCGGTACTCTGCATCAATGTATGCACTGTCAGCACGTGACTCTAAATATTAAACAAAAAATGGCGGCGGACAACTACTTTGAGCGAATACGTGCAGAAAGTCTTTGCTTTTTTTGGCGATAAATGAAGGCAACCAAGATGTTGCCGCGTCTTACAATACCCCAGGCTTATTTCTTTTCTATACGACTCTCGCACAACTTTCGAAGAGCGCTTTAACAGACGGCGATGACCTCTACACCGGAGAGTTCGTCAGTCCCGAGTCAGGGAGATCTGTTCTCCTTACTCGATGCGGACAACAAACATACTGTGGAAGAAACCAAGGCTCTGATTCACGAAAATCTTCATTCGTCTCGTGATCCAGGACTTTTGAACTCCATGGTGGAGTTCTATTTAAAGACTCGCTCGCAAGCCTGTCTGCAGATACTGAGTGGAATTCACGAAGCTCGTGCGCAGGTATTTGTAACGTTACTATGCCTCTGAAAGATGATACTTATAGCCATCGATCGTTCCCCTTTTGATCTGTAGTTGGCGATCTGTTTCTCAGCGTCATGATCTAATACTTATAGTTCTTCTGTTTTTCATTCAGGCGTTGTTTGAGATAATGAACGAGTGTCTTAAGCAAAAACACACTCGCTTGGACACATTGACCCTATTGGGTCATATCGTTCGGAAACAGGTAAACTATTTAGGTGAACTAAATTAATTTCTATTTCTCGTGATATACGAATCTGCACGCCTTATTTCAGGAACAAGTGGTAAAATCAAGCCTTGCACCATGTTGCTATCATTGCTCACACGTGCTGCCATGCTTCACAGATCAGCGAAGCGGATTATCCAGACACTTACGGTTTCCTCTGTTTGTCGTTGATTGAACTTCTTTGCAGCATGGGTTTCGGCCGACTTTGAAAACTTTATTAGTAAAATGCATTTAAATGTTATGCATTTCTATAAGTAAAGCAATGTGCAACATTAAATTGTTGTTTTATGTTATTTTTATTGAGTACTCATTGTGCAACATTTGACCTGTGACTTGTCAAAAGTAGAGAGCTATTTCAACCCCACAGAAGTCACGTATAAGCGTAAATTAGATAGTGGGGTGTGGTGTGTGAAGTTGATGCAATATTGATCAAATATCCATTTCTTGTTTTCACAGTATGAAAAGGCCTCCTCTTCAGCATATATATACTCAAACACAATAAACTAGCTACTAAGTGTGTAGCCAAGTTTTATGTACATGTAGCTCAGGTCATGGTGTTTCAGCAGATGATGGAACACCCTCTATTGTCTTTGATATAGTTTCTTAAGTTTTTTTTTTTTCTTGGAGAAATTCCAAAAACCAAAATATTGGCCATAATGATCAAGAATTCAAGGATCAGACCATTTTCATGGCTACAATTTTCTTGTATAATGAACTCTTGCTAATAAAGATTTTTAGAACTGTGTAAGTCAAGGAAACACTGTTTTTATTATGTATCAAACAAGGTGAACACGGAGTATATAGTCAAACCACCAGTGAGTTTTGTGTATATTATGATGGTAAACTCAGAAGGTTTCCAAGTTTAGTCAGTTGACATAAGTTACTTAACCCTTTAAGCCCCAGTACCCCCACATACAAAAATTCTCCAAACTGATCTCCATACATTTCCTCAAAGAATTAGTTGAGAGAATTTGATAATAGATCAAGGCATTTTCTCTTTGGTGATCAAATTATTTATTCTCATTACTTATCTCTTGACAGTGTATGGATATTGTTAGGAGAAAATTGATCTTGGTCACTATTGGGAATCGGGATAATAAAGGGTTCAGCATCTAAATTATAAAAAAGCGACAGACAAGTCTAATTGTTAATGATTTGAAACAGTCTTGGTCTTTGTAAAATACAACTTCCATTTATTTTGGTTTGTTGGGTGGTGTCAGTACTGTGTTTATTTTATTCTTGATCTAGCATAACCAGAGAACGCTAAACCTCTCTAAATGTTTCTGACAGAGAACGTGCATGCACATTGAGTGTCTTTAAAATGTCATAGCAAGAAGAGATTAGGTCAATGAAACTACTAGCTATAACAACTGTCTTATTCTCTGTTAACCTTTTACAGCCTTCCTGGTTGTACAAGATAATCAAGACTCCTTTCTTTGAAACTCTCCTGAAGGTTATGAAGGTAAAGGATTGATATTATAAATATTTACCTTGGTGGTCATATGACAGGATCAAGTAATATTAAAGATTCCTTTCTGTATCAGGAAACTGTTAATGAAAATGTGCAAATGTGGAAATAATAAATCCCATTTTTTGTGGCACTTCTGTCCATGTACATGTATAATTTATTTATTAGATTTTTGTTACCAAGAGGGGACCCACCCAGTTTTGTATGGAAGGGGGAAGTACCCCCCCCCCCCCCCCCCAAAAAAATACCCCCTTTTATTTCCCTTGTCAAAGAAAGCATAATATTTATTTTCAAGTTACAGTTTTGTATACTGAATATGTTTCCAACTCTTTTTTGTTTGCATTGTACATAAGTTTACCTTGGACACAAGAGCAAAAAAAATTTTATTACTATTAAATGTTTCTACAGGCTGACAATGACGTAGTGGTTTTAACAAGTGGCATTTTAACAATAACTACCCTCTTACCGCTGGTACCAGCCTCAATTGGACACTGCTTGCAAGACTTGTTTGACATTTTTACCAGGCTCTCGTCATTCAGAGCTCGTCGACAAGGTATTCTTATTCCAGAATACAATCAATCAAACCCATCCAAATGACCCATGCTTAGAACCCTCTTAACCTTTTTTTCTCCTTCTAGGTAATGCACCTGAAGTGTACCTTCTCTACCTGCATGTTGCTGTTTATATGTTTTTTCACCGATTGTATGCCATGTACCCAAACAACTTCTTGGCGTATCTCAGGGCACTGTGCAATGAGCCGTCTAAACGGAGTATCTTTCAGAACACTATCAAGGTAAGGTGCAGTCTTACAGCTTTTGATCATTGATCAAAAACCTTAAGGGTGGCAATAATCGATTATGGAAAATGTTCAACTAATGATCATGAAAAAATAAATAAAAATTTCCTGTTCATTTCCTCTGAGGAGTTTTTTGTGATTGTAATATCTGTTGATGATCAAATGGCTGGTCTATCTGATTATTTCTGATGATCCATTCTGAAATCTTAGCTTATTTCAAAAGGACACCTGCACATACCAAGACCTGTTTTTGGTTGAGTAATGGGGTGTTGCTTTTTTGGGGAATTCACTTGAGATGTACCTCATTATTTTGTGAAACAATAATATTAAGGAGACTTGCTCAAATTTTAACCAGTTTGCCTCTAACGTTGCCTCTAGAACATGCCAAGTTACTAAAGATCTTTTATTGACACTTTTAGCCGATGCTGGAACATGTACGACTTCATCCCTGTGTGATAACAGAGACAGCACATACAGAAACAGAAAAACACAGGTAAATGAACACCATAAAATTAATGACGTAATAGATGCCCAGTGCATCTATTTATCTTTAGGGGTCCAAGCAGGGGTGCAGATGGAAGGGGTTCAGAAGAGGGAAATATTTATTCTTATACCTTTAACAAGCTCAACAAAGCTACATGCTTTCGGTGAAAATATCAAGAGTGTTTAAAAATAGAAGAACATCCATTCCATCAATATTGATATGTCTATGCCATCAAGAGATCAATATCACTCTTTTAAATCCCAACATCAGTGTCAGAATCCTCGCTTTATAGGGTTATTGTGTTACCATCGTTCATCTATACTTGACATTGAACAGGATGAAATATGCAAAGCCTTGTTAATTTAGCAAGAAACTGAACAAACTGAATGATTTTGCTCCTTTTCCCTACAGTGTAATTCCTTGTATTTTGGAGTAATTTTCATGGAGGATGGTTCTTTTGGACAGGATGTTTTTACTAGAGAAGGGTTTCTAATACATTTTAACAGCAGAGAGGCGGCATTTGTTAGATAAGAGGCCTTTATTTGGATATGGGTGTCTATTAGGTCATTTACAGTAGTAGTATTTTGCTCTGCTGTTTGCAAGATCTTTAAAGTGTGATCGCATTAGCTTGAGAGCCATAAAAAGCAGAGAACTGCATGAAAAGGGGTAATTATTAGTACTCCCCCTAATACTATGTAGATACAGCCTGTAGTAATAGGGCCCAGTTAGGGTAAAATAATATTGCAACGACTAAGTGACATGGCCTTGAAGCAGTGATATAAGACAGATGAAATGGCAACAAACGACACAAACATGGGTCGAAACTGTGACAGCAGTTAGAAAAATCACAAATAGAATGGTACCCACACAGTGACATGGCCTCCTCTTCAATACGTGAAACGACCACGTTTGAAACTCAGAATAGGGACATATGTACCCCCCCCCCCCTCCCTGAGAAGGCCTCAGTTGTGGAACTGTTTATTAACAGTATTGTTGTGTACTTTATCTCAGGTGGAGACAGAAAGAGCCCCATGATATTGTTATAGAGTGCATGAAAGTCTCGTTGGATCCAATCGACAGGATACAGGAGAAAGGAACATTTTTGTTGTCATCATCATCCAGACATAGTCTTCAGGAACTTTTAGCTGATAAATCCAGCAGCTCTAATTTCACAGCATCGAGTGAAAGTCAAGGACAGGAAACTGGGAGACCGCGGGAGCGTCGCATGTCAGACTCTGCAACGCAGACTGGCAAATCACTACAGAGTGGTGACAGTGGAATAGACTCTTGCAATACCCCAGTTATTTTGTCAGATAAAATTATGACGGGGTGGAGCCCATCAGAAGTGTGTCAGCTTAGTACCCCACCTTCATCACAAATGTCTCCATCAACCAGCAACCCTGACCTGTGGAGCTCAGTGAATATGCACTCTCATTGCAGTACGCCAGGAGCCACGGTTACTCCCGAGCAATCACCGACGTCATCGATGAGTGGGGACATAGGCCATCAGCATGGATGCTCAAGTTCACCTTCCATGTTTGGGAGTAAAGTAAGAGCTGGTGTTTCAGTAGGGATGTCTAGTGGCAGGGGAACTCCAGTTAGGGGTGCTAAAGCCTCTAGTCAGGAGGGACAGTTAACAAAGGCTTTGTCTTCTGCTTTAGCACAGCACAGTCATGAATCAGCTGCTGAAGCTCTTGATGAGCACCAAACCTCAACCCCAAAAGATGTGGCAACGAGAGAGGAAGGGAAAAGGATTGAAACTTCAGTGGAGGAAGTGCCCCATGGTACATTTACTATTTCCTCCTCAAAAAGTGTTTCAAGTACTCTTGAAGGCCATAATGAAGAAATAAAGGACCACTATGAGATACCTAATGAAGAGCATTTGGACAGTAGTAAAATCTCACCAAAAGAAGAGTACAGGGACGTAAGTGGGCATGAGGTTTTTACCTTGGAATTAAGTGAACACAAGGCCCTTGAATCGAATCAGGGTAACATTACTACTGATTGTTTGCCGGATTCTTTCACACCAGTTTTGACTCCAGTGGCTGGGCAATCTCTGGACACTGTGACGTTAAAGAACTCGCCCCATGTGAAGGATGCGTCTTTGTCAACAGAACCAGAGGAATCTCAACATTCTGCACAGCAATCTGGATTTGATTCTGATGGACTGTTGCATAGCAAACACCATCAGGATTATGATGCCAGTACTAAAGGGCATGAAAGCATAGAAGCTAGCAAGAGTGAAACTAGCTTAGCATCTGATGAAATATCCTTAGACTCATCAAAATTCCATAGCACTGTTCCTCATGATGCAACACAAAATCACCACCAGTCGTTAGCAGACTTGATCCCCTCATTTCCTCAGCTGTTGCCATTGTTTAGAGGTGAACAGAAATGTGCTGTGGGCAGTTGCATGACTCATGAAGATGACGCAGGTTTATCTAGACCTCAGCAGCATTTGTTGTCAAGCGCACCAAGCCCTGTGGAAATCCTTGATAGCTACCTCAAAACAGGAAGCAGTTTGCACTATGGCGAGCTCTCCAGGTAGGTACTCTTTATGTCAGTGGCCAAAATTATTCTAGGGATGAATTATCCATCTAAAGAATAATTTGTCTGAGTATAAATCTGAGAAATGAATTTAGATGAATCTTAGGTGTAAACTTGGTTTGCTTGTGGATGCCATCTTAACATCAGTTCTCATATCCCAAGAAACCTTGTGAATAAATAGATCCTAGCCCTAAAGTCAAAACTAAGCAGAAATCCATCTTTTTTACCTTCTAGATTTAAATTTAGAGATCTGTCTGAGACTAATTATTCCTCGGTCAGCATGTCATTACAGACATGCGGACAGATTCATCAATTTGGATGCAAAATTCATCTATTCATGTATCTAGACATTTTATCTGTCTGAGATGGATAATTCCTCTTAGATGGATAATTCGTCTCTGTTATAAAGTTGGCCAGTCAAATGGTGTTTGTTGTCTCTATATTGCCACTACAGTCTCCTACTATTAGGGAGCTTATATAATCACCATGGCAACAACAGCTAACACGTGGCTATTAAAAAGACTTTTTTTAATAACTTTGTTGTGATTTAATTACGACTCACCTAAACATGTTAAATGTATTTGAATTTCCCTGGAACTGAATTATTGCTGACTGAACCCAAGTTTAGAAGGATCTACTTGTAGAAAGATTCTAAAATTGAGGTTTTGGATGTAGCAAAGTTTATTCTGGTTTGTTATTATTGTTCCACAGGGTGCCTCTTGTTAGTCACGCTAATACTGCTTGGACACATTATGGAGGTAAGCCTGTTGAACTTTTGTAGACAAAGCTTTGTGTAGTTGCACCAATTAATATGCTTTTAATAGCTTAATTTTTAAATTTAGATTTATTAAAGGACATTTGACCCTTTTTGGGGTTACTCTAAGATAAACTCAGTCAACTCTGGCCATATCTCCCAGAGGATTCTGGAGGCCTACTCTTCCACCTTTGGGAAAAGTTTGAACATTTGAAGCACGAAATCTAAATTTTGAAAATTTGCTTTAAAGGACCCCTGCTTAATAGGGTGTGACTAAAATGGGTAACATTGTTACACACTGAGTGGCTTAACGGGAAAACATCATACTGTATTCAAGAAGCAAGAATGTTTCTCACTTGGCTTAAGGAGAGTATCTTTCATCTATCATTTCTCATTTTTTTCCATCTTTTTTTTGCCAAGATTGTTTCTTTGTAGCTAAACAGGGAAACATTCTGATTCGCAACAAAGTTTCAATCAGCCAGGGTATTTTTCGGCTTTAGCCAACCCATAAAGAGAGTTGATCTGCTGCACTACCATTAATTGGTTATCTCAGTAGGCAGTGCAAAAGTTATTTTAAAGGAATAGATTGTTAAACTAATGGGCCAATTTCGATACTTGGCTCTAATCACATTAAAGTTCAGGGGTGAATATAGTTGGTCTATTGACTGCAGTGTGATTGTAATGTGCATTTGTGTTATTAATTTAGGTGAGCCTCCAGTAGATGAAGTGGAGATCATGCGAGGACAAGTCAAGTTACTTCATAACCAGCTACTGTTTGAGCGACACAAATGTGATTTGCATGCTATTCGCAACAGGCGGCTCATCGGCAAGACATTCAAGGCTGTACAACATCAAGAAGAACTGCTAGCAACTGTGAGTGTGCTATCTGGTGTTAATTTGATAAAACGTTTACAAGTGTAGCCATTGTTTTAGAGTCCAAACAATAGCTAGACTTGTAATTTACACTAACTTGTAAATGTTTTATTAAATTGACCTCTGGTTTGATAAACGTCTCACCTCTCCTTACATGGGAAGTGTCAGTTTATATCTTACATAATGCACAGTGACTCAAAGCTGAGTTATGCTAATTATGAAAAATCATGTACTGCCTAATTCTTTGATGTAAGTAACACATATCTATAAATTCGTTGCTTGAAGTAAAGAAATTGGATATTTTGTGGATCAGACTGGAAGTCACCAGACTAAAACTGTAAACTAATAACCTAAAGGTTACATAAATCTATTATTATTATTATTATTAATTTTTTTTTAAATTATTACCACACAAGATTTAAATGGAGCTGTCTAATAAAAATAAAAAAAAATGCACTGACATCAAAGCTGAGTTTTGCTAATTATGAAAAATCATGTACTGCCTAATTCTTTTATGCAAGTAACACATAATTATAAATTTGTTGCTTGAGGTAAAGAAATTGGATATTTTGAGGATCAAACTAGAAGTCACCAGAGTGAATTGCAAACTTTACCTAAAGGTTACATAAATCTATTATTATTATTATTTTTATTACTATTACCACACAAGATTTAAATGGAGCTGTCTAATAAAAAAATGATTATCATTATTATTATTAATTTATTGTTAGTATTATTATTTGACAAAGCAAAAGCAGAATATTAATGAAGTGGTGGCGTTCCTTGTTTATTTTTTCATTGTGGAATTTTTATTTAAAAATGATGTTGTCATATGACTCTCAGGTACATGTCACAGGACCTCTTAGGTCAAGCTGGCCTCATACATATTTACATTGTTTTTTCCTCCATGTCTTTTATATGGGAACAGAAAGATCAACTCAGGCTTCAAGAGGATAAAATGAGAGAATTGACTGATGCCCTTAACAAACAAGTAGAAGAAAACAGGTATAATAATTATGACACACAATTAACTAAAAGTACTTGTCAAGTATTTAAAGAACTTAGTTTAGAACTACCTTTGCTTATTCCTTTTAAACTTTGTACTCACTGCGTACTTTGCCCAGATGTCAGCTCTGTACTTCTACAGTGTATGCATTCCAAAGTAATAATGTTTTGGAGACTTGTTTTGATTTATAAATTACAGGACACACTATTGTTAGCTGCCACTCTCAGTTCAATGTGTTGCTGTAAATGGAAAAATAATACTATTCTGTGTATATTTTAAGCTCCTGATTTATTTTGATTATGTAATACCCCACCCCCTCCAGTCTCCACCTTTAGTTACCACATATACAATGTAACACCTTCCACTGCTGTGACACTAATTTTGAAAACTGTTATGTTTTGACGTGTCCGTCAATAAAAATTACTTCCACTGAGGCAGCCAAAATGTCTTTGACCTGGTATTCTTTTGTCACCTAATGTCTTCAAATGAACAAGTTTTTTTTTTATTTTTTAGATATAGATAATAAAAGATGTAATAAAAATTACTTGTAAGCCACTTTCATGAAACTTTGATGTTTTTCATTTTTTTTTTTTTTTTTTTTTTTTGGGGGGGGGGGGTAGGGTTAGCGTTAGGTTTTTTGTCGCAAATTCTCCTGTCTAATAAAAATGGGAAGATTAAAAAAAAAAACAGAATTCAGCAAAGCCAAAATATCAAAATAAAACCCACTGCGAGGGGGTGAAACTGGTTGTGTCAAAGTTGATTTCCAGTCTATGTTATTAAACTAAACAAAAAATGTACAAAATCCTGCAATTACTGTTAATTGTCAAACTGAGCAGCTAAAGTTTCAGTGCAACAAAATTTACAAGTTAGATTAATTTCCACAGTGCTTTTGCAATGATTTTGTCAGAGAGTGTGGTCACTATTTTCCGGAAAACGTCCACATCTTGGTTTTGATTGGCACTCAAAAGTTCCTCTACTGGAGAAGAGCGCTGAATGCAGTTATTAAATATGGACCCAAAACTCAGACAAACAAATTGAAATTAACATTAGCAAATTCCTCATTTTTGTCTGACTTTTGTCATTAAAATGTCATGTTTGTCTGTCTTTTGTCATTAAAATGAGAAAAATGGCAAAACTCAGACAGACATTGCAAATTAGTCACTTTGACGTAATTCGCGCGCTACGCCATTGATAGTGTGGGAAAACTTGCTTAGAATACATTTTGTGTCTTTGCTCCTTTTTGTGCAGAAGATTTAAATCTATTGCATCAAGCTGGGAAAGTCATCAAAGGACAGAACTCAGGTTTGGCTTTCACTCTATCTTCTTAGACTGTTACAGTGAGTGTTGTCTCTGTCACTTGTGTTGTCCATGTGACGGGTGTTGTCCCCGTAACTTGTGTTGTCCATGTGACAGGTGTTGTCCCTGTAACTTGTGTTGTCCATGTGACAGGTGTTGTCCCTCTAACTTGTGTTGTCCATGTGACAGGTGTTGTGTTTTCCCTGTGATGGGCGTTGTCCTTATCATGGGTGTTGTCCCTGTGATGGGTGACAAGTGATGTCCCTCTAATCTCTGATGGGTGTTATTGTGACAAGCATTGTCCCTGTAACTAGCGCAGTCCCTGCGACAGATGGTATCAGTCTGACAGGGGTTCTTCTTGTAATGGGTGTTACCCTTCTGATACGTGTTGCCCCTGTAATGAATGCTGTCCTGTGATGAGTGTTGTCGGTGTATTAATTATATTTTATGTATCACAAGTTTGTCGGCACATACAGTAATGTATGTACAAAGACAAGACACGTGGCCTTAAACCACTGACTGTAGTCTCCATGGAATTTTTAACTACAAGTTATCTTACACTGTCTGGATGAATCTGCATGTGGTATTGATCACTACAGCTTACTTGTCAATCATTCAATACTTCTCAGGAATTTGTTGAATGAGAATGCTCAACTGAAGTATAAAGAAAAGGAGCTACTAGAGAAACTTGAAGCCCAGCAAAAAGGATTTGATACCAAGCAAACAGTAAGTTTGGTGATAGGCATTTTATAACTTTGTGTGGCAGCAGTTGGCCACCCATGGAAAGGGAATAGGAAGCTTAAGCAAAGTCATTTTGTTTAGCAACACATGTAAACTAGAAGTGTAGGCTTTTCCCTTTTAAAGTTCCTTGGCTTTACAGAGACAATTTTTTTTTGTAAAAAAAAATTGTGGAGAACCACTGCCCAAGAATGCAAAAAGTTCATCTCTTGTTGACATGTGTCACCCAAGAATGCTTTTTCTTGAGCTCTCTATTCTTATCCCTGAGTGGCAATAGGCGGGGAGGGAGGGGTGAGGGCCTCTAGTTCAAAAGAGGGGCTGGGTGGGTGCGGATAAGAAAAAAAAAACTTCCCCAGGGGATACATGAATGTTTTCTGCCAGGTCACTAATGGATCTTTAATTTATTCACAAATAATTGATTATTTTACCACTGTTGTCACTTCTGATCATTTTATTTGTTCATGTATTTTAATATTTTTTTTATTATTATTATTTTAGGAAATTCATCAGTTGAGGGCAAGAATTTTCACTTTGGAAAATGAGCTAGATAGACTGAAAGTTCAAGCATTAGAAAAAGAACAGCTGTCAAAACAGGTAAAATGGGTGTCATATTTTGCCTTTGTACACAGTAAGAAAATTTTTATCTAAATTATAGACAGAGGAAGGCCCAGTTTTAAAAAAGTACTGCAAGAGAAGTATACCTTAAAATTATGATAACAACAGTCAATGTATCATTGCTTCTAAACTTGTAGATAATAGCTATAATTATTTTCCTTTTGTCTTGAATTTTTTACTACTTTGATGAGTTCCAATGATTAAATGCAGAAAAACTCAAGACGTTTTGAAGGTGGAGTAATGTGTACTTCCTTTGAAATAGCATTATTCTGTCTCCAAAATGTTGAATACAAGTTGAGCACACTGTGTTAGCTTTTGATCATGATGTCAAATTATACCTCTACACCAATCAAAGCTTGGTCATGCACAAAAGGCAAAATTCAAGACTGACAGTTTTTGGCGAAACGTCCCCCTCCACTTAACCTCTCACTTTAATTGCCTCCTTCCTCCATGTTTTTTCCTTAGTTTTGTTTTGTTTGTGTTGTTTTGCTTTTTATTTTGGTTTCAATGATTCTGTCCTCCTGCATAAGTTGGACATCAAAGTTGTCAGTGCAATAGTCCAGTTTTTAATTAAAAATTACCGCTGTATACAAACATTAACGACACATTCATACAGGGTTAGCCTCGACGTAAAGTAAAATATTCAGAAATTCTTTGAAATTTGAATATACACAATAGACAAAGTAATAAACAGGTCTTTTTCGTTGGAAGGTCTTCAGATGGAGGTGGTTAAAAAAAACAGGCACTTCTTTTTGAACAGAACTTGAAAATGGACTATTAGAATACTTCACAATTTTTGGTGGTAGCGACTCAGGTCTTCAAGGGTGGTTACAGGCATTTAAGGTGCGAATGTGCTAAATTATTCTTACTTTAACACAGGTCAATCAACTTGTGATGGAACTTTTAATAATGGGTGAGCTTAACCAGCAACAAAAAGAGCAACCCTTGCTGAGGGACAAAGACATACATGGCTATTCAGAGAGAAATTAATTCAATTCTTTTATTTCTATGAGGGACAGAATCCTGAAAATAAAGTATGCAAAATTAATAATAATTATTTACATTGTTCATTTGTACAGTGTCCAAAGTAGAGAATTGGACACCGGTTGAAATAATCGGCAGCTTATCATTATCTGTTTGTGTTTGGTTGGTTAAAAGATAGGACTTCCATTCTTTCTTAAGAACCCTGATCATTTGTACATGATGTCCTCAGGGTGCAAAGAAAGTCTAGCCCCATGTCATTTCAACCAGCCCCCAAAACTTTTTGATGAGAAGAATTGATTTCACTGTCTTCTGTAATTTGAATTCCTCAAAAATTCAACAGGATTTTTGAGAAATGGCTTCCAAGGCCCTGTATGTGTATATGCACGTGTATGTAGCCGTGGTCAGAAATGTTTTTTTCCTCTTTCAGTTGCAAAGCAGACATTGAAAAAGCAGAAAGCTGAACTAGATGCATTAACCTCCAAACTAGAAGAAGTGGAAACACAAATCTCCAACAAGGTGTTGTGTAAAATGAAAATTTAATTTATTAATTTATTTACATAAGTAGTGAAATGAAGTAAAATATTAGTCTTTTGAAAGTGAAAACAGTAGTTATACTTGTAAGAACTGTTATGTTACATGGGTTCCATCGATTTTGAATTATAAAGCCATTCATTGCTCAGTTGTGGTATAAAAGCCCAGGTTGTTTGTTATCCCACCATAGCTTTCAATTGGCTATCAGAGTGTGGCATGCTTTCATAGTTTTCTTTTAGACATTTACGGTAGTATTTATTTTCCATTTCTTATATTAATTTCTTATTTGAAAGTCATACCAGTTCTGTCACCCTTTTCAGGATCTTGAAATAAGAGAAATGAAAAAGTTCTCTGAGGGATTAAAAGGAACATATGCTGGGAAGATGCAGGTGAAGTTATGTCTAAAAAATAATGATTATTTTGATAATGCCTCAGAGGACACTGACCCTTGGCAGGGAACATCCTCAATCTACATAATACAGTCAAACTTTCATGCGCAACCACCTCTGATAAGTAACCACCTGCAATAAGCAACTACCTGTCCAAAACACCAAAATTTTCCCAGTCAAAGCCTTATTTCCTCGCCAAATATCTTTGAATAAATTCATGTTAAATACAGCTCAATCAGCTTTAAACGACGTTTGCTATTAGAGGTTTCATGAAAAAGGTATTAAGTTAAATACTTTTCTGGGAATGTATATAGTCATCCTCAGTAGTGTAGTGGTAGGGATAAGTCGCACCAAACAGGAGGTGCGGGGTTCAATCCCAAACCAATTACCCATTTTTTTTTCTTCCTTCCTTTCTTTTTTTTTTCGTCATTGTTTTGTTTTGTTTTTTGCTTATTTGTTTGTTTGTTTGTTTTCTATATATTTTCTCTTCCCTATTGACTTCTTTCCATTTCTTCCTACTTCTGGCCTTTAGCATCTGCTTCACAAGGCTCTGCGATTGATGTATTTCTTGTAGTACTGTTGGAATGCTTTGTAAATGACCACCTCCTATAACCGACCATCGCCGCTTTTGGGGGGTGACAGCTCTTTGTCTGCTGTCTGTCGATGCTACTTAGAGTACATAACGAACTTTTAGAGACAATATGAAAATACTCGTATGTACGGCAACTTAGAAATTGCATGCAATAAAATTATAATTATCTTCTATAAAGTAGTTGTGTCTGGACCTCTTCTCAAAAGAGACACCCTTTGGTTCGACTCTTATAAGTGGCCACTTCCTGTAAGCAACCACCAAAGTCTTTGAATTTTAGGTGCTCATTTATAGGAGGTTGGATGGTAATTAAAGATTAAATGTTCTTTATATCGTACTCAAACTCATCCAATAAAAAATAGTTTTATTGTTGGTTAGTGTTGGTTAATAGTCTATTAATAACAATAATTATTTATTAATCTATTTTTAGAGTCTGGAAGAAAAATATGCTGCCCAAAGGAAGATAACGCAAGCCTTGGAATCGTACATTCTTGACCTGCAAGCTGTGGATAGTGCAAGAAGAGAGAAGATTGAGAGGGAAACAATGCAACCTGACTCTTAGTAGTTAATAAAATCTAGCTTATTTAAAACAATGATAATAATAATAATTATAATAGTAATAACTATAATTATTAATAATTATTATTTTACTGTAATCCATATTGTGTAAAGACTCCTTAATATTCTCCTGCTCCAAAGTCTACTAGAAGCCCATTTTTTGTAAATTAAATTGTAATGAGTTCAGAGTTGGTCTTTCATCAGAATAGAATAGTGAATTACGATGCCAGAATGGCTACGTTGGTGAAAACATCACTCAAAAAGAGACTTCACATTCTTTGAAACTTCAGTGTGATTATCGCAACTCACTAACTTTGTTAAATGTAGGTGAACTTTCCTGGAGCTGAATTCCTACCAAAAATATCCAAGTTCATAAAGCAAGAGAGAAATGTCGTCATTTGTTCAGTCACGTTCTCCATGAAATGTGAAGTTAAACAGTTTCATGTCATAGTTGTGTAGTGACAGCAAAGGAATGTGAGAAAAATGTGCTGCACATTCAAAGTTGTTGTTTTGCGAACCTAAACCTATTGCTTTTTGATGTTCTCACTGCCATTACCATTGTGACATCTGAAAGTCCCTAATGTGGGTAAGACCAGGCTGCTGTTGTATTTCACTGGCTGGATGACAGCTTGTAAATGACTGGCTCAGCTGTCAGAAAACAAAACTCTTGGTTTGATAGTCACCTTAGCTAACACACTACAGACACTATAATTTTAACTCTTTTTAACTTGTGACTGTATTACTTTATGTATTGAATTTTTTCCGTCTGGAGGCTTTCTAATCTAAAGTGAATTCATTTTAACTAACAAAATTGTAATAGTTGTAATTTGCACCAAAATGCACAGAAGCACTGAAATTTTGTTTTCTTTTGAAAACTGCCGTAAGATAAATTATTATTTTATCACAATTAATTTTACTTCATAAAATCTTAGCTTTCCAGTGATAATGAAGGAGCAAGTTGCATTTCAACAATAGGTTTTTGGGGCTCTTGTCGGGTTTACTGTTGACCCTAGATTATGAAATGTTTTTGTAAATTTGTCAGTTTGAAGATTATTTCGGTTTTGAGGTGTTTATTTAAAGTTGCATTTTTAGGTCACTGGATTAATTGATTGTGCCATAAATCTGTAAAAGTGCACCAAGAGTTCCACAGAGGCATAATATTCATGAGCTTGGAAAAGCCATCCTTTGTTGCTAAAAAAGTTTGAGCAAGCTTAAATTATGTTTCATTAATTTTGTTAGAGTTAGTTGACATGCAGCTTTGTCAAAATGTTAGGTGGAGACAAGTTATCTACAAATGGAACTCAGTCTTTTGAAAGAAAATAATGCTGCTTTCACTGTGACGTCATACAGCATGCAAATAAAGACATGGCTAAGTTATTTAGGATATATATATAAATTATATATTTTCTATATAGTGCTTAATAAAATAATTAATATTATTATTACTTATTATTATTATTACTTCTACAGTTATTATCATAATTACTATAATTAACTTGATATATAGGACAATCTAAGTTCTCAAACATGATAAATGATTAATTTAGTGTTAATTGGTTGGCCTTCTGCTGAAACAATACTTTTTTATCAGACAGTCAGTCAGTCAGACACTAGCAAAATGGAGTGGTTGTGGTATACTTTCATTTGAATCTGAAAGGAAATCATTTCCATACAGGTTTAGTAACTTTGATTTCAAAATGGAATTCAAAAACACAGTTGTTGATCACGTATAGCCTTTTCTCAGTCATGGTTATTATGAATGACTGCAGCAGGTACAAAAATTAAAAGAATTAGGAGCTATATCACAGGAGAATATTAAGAAATATAACAGTGATCGCAATGAAAACATCACTGAAAAAGTAAATTTCTGTTCTTTCAAGCTTGTTCGATAACAGAAAGAAAAATTTTCATTAAAGTGTGTCTATTTATGAGAAATTTTCACATTGCACTCGTGCAGTGACGGCAACGAAATGTAGCAAAAAGTGCGATGAATCCATGCAGAGTTGTTGTGCTCATTCAGAAACTATGATATTGCTTTTTTGATAATCTCGTTGCCAGTGCAGTCGTTGTCTGAGCTTCTATAGTTGCCTTTTTTATGTTGGCTTATTTCTGTACACTGTCTGGCCATGGTTATTTGTATTTATCATAAAAGTGAAATAAGGAAGACAGTGGTGATATTTGCAAAAATCATACTTGTAAAAAACAATATTCTAAGGTACGTTGTTCCTAAGGGGGAACCACGATTGTAACTTGAAACTGTACTGACAAATGGGAAATACCCTTGTATGTGATAGATAAAGAGGTGGAAAGGAATTTACTGGTAGGACAAAATTAGACCAGTGGTTGCTTGCCATGCAGTATTTTATTTTATTGTTCACTGCACAGCATTAACTTTAAAAATAAATAAACGATTTCTGAAAACTCCTGGCCTGTTGTGTTTTTCTTCATGAACTAGCAGAAAGCTCTTGCAGGAAGTCTTAGGACGTCATGACAATCATGATTTATTGATGATTAATGAAATGTTGCTACTAGTGAATCACAATTCTGATGATAAGCTTCAATTTCAACCACCTTTGACTGTGTGGTGAAAAGGGAGACTTCTGAAAACAAGGTTGCTTTCATTGACTTTTGACTGCAGCATTTATGCGTTTAAAAAATAGTGTCCTCAGATTCTGTCCTAGTGCCCTACCGATCACTTCTTGGAGTTGATTTGCATGAATGCACAAAAAACTGCCTTGTGAAGTCGTGGATGTCTTGACTAGTCAGTTGAGTGGAGATCAGGCCCAAGCCGGGCAAGAAACTTTGCAATTGCTTCATACTGCCTACAATCTTGGACAAAACTGTTAAGAAAAATAGACGCTTCCATGTCTAGTTTCAAGGTAAAGCCCTTGAAAGCACTGGCTACTACAGAATACTCCGCCTGTGCCCCCAAAAAGACAATGTTGAAGTTTTGCTGGCTCATTTCTGACGTCCACCGAACAATATTGACTAGGGTGGGGTGAGGGGAGGGGTCATAGTGATACCAAATCTAAGGGATAGGCCATCTTAACACCTTTTATCCGAGATTGTAGTTCCTTACGAGAATGTACTCTAAGTATAATGCTGTAGGAAACCATTTGACTGATTGACTCTATCACAGTTGTGGATAAGAAGATACACCCTAAGGTGTCTTGCATTAGAAAATAGTAGGGAATATAAACTCTGGCAATGTTGGCTACCTGTGGCTCAAGAGTACTTTTCCCTACACCCCCTACAGCGAGGATGAATGATAGGGGAGGGGTGGCTGCATCTCTATTTTGGGTATGCACATGGTGAATAGGAGCTTGGAGAGGCAGTGGTGTTTATCCACCCCCCACTACCTTGTCATACCCCTTTCTGCTCATTTCTCTGACCTTTTCCAGGCATTCAAAGATTAAAAAGAGTGACAAAGGAACTTCCGAATTGTCCTTGTTTTTATTTTTGCTGTTATTGTTTCTTTTTTTCATCTGCTTTATTTTTCACTGGCTCTTCACTGTATAGTCTACTTTGCAGTGCTTTTTAGGGTCTTCATGCAATGCTCCACCACAGGAGGGGAGGAGCATTGCATGACGACCCTAAAAACTACTGCAAAGGAGACTATTCACTGTCTGAGTGCCTGAAAGAGCCCACTAACTTTTCCAGCTGCTTAGATTAGAGGCTCAGTGATCAAGACATTAACAAAGCTTTCTGATGCCACTGAGAGCTGGTCAGGTCTGTTTGGTACAGTAAAATAGAGTACGTTACTGGCTGTGGGTTAATTCCACTCTGTTACAACACAAATAGTACAGGTACATTACAGTACCTTATAAACTAGCTTATAACAAGGTAATTATTTTGAGTACAAGGCTCAGAAGCTTACAAATTTAAAGACTAAATAATTAAAATTATTTAGTCTCGAAACTCAAAATAAAAATTGCTCATCAAATTTGGAACACACCATAACTCCAGCTGTGTAGGAATTTTAATTAGGGCACATAAATTTCAAATTAACATTGCACTAATTCTTTTTCTGATCCCGTAACTTATTTAGCTGTTCAACCCAGTCCTTCACTACTGGATGTTGAAATTTATCCTTCGTGAAGTCAAAGAATTCTTGTAACCAGCCTGTTCCAGACTTTTCCTCGCTTACTTCGTACTCATGCGCCTGTAGGATCATTTCAAACCTATCCAAATCCTTTACAAACTTTGCTTCTTGGGTCTCCTGTGCTTCGTACTCTTGCCACAACGAAAGAAATTCTCTCCCCACTTCTTCTCCGACCAAGCCTGATAAATACTCCATCGTTTCTTTTTCACGCCTGTGTTTCTCTTCTTTACTGACTCCATCGAATGGTGTGATATCGCCGACGATGCACTCAGCCATATCGTGGACTAGCGCGAGTTTAATGCAATGATCGCGGTTGATTTTAGCGTCTTCGTTTTGTCCGCTCAGCAGAAAACTCATTATCGCCATGCGATACATGTGGTCGGATACGCTCTCTGGAGAGTTTACACCGCGATAGACCCATCCAGTACGCTTGGTAGACTTGAGCTTTCCGACCAGTGACATAAATTTCAGAAGATCGGACATGGTCAGCACAATTAATCCCTTAAAAACCTACGACAAAACAAAAGCCGGCTTGCAAGGCGATTTTCACCAGGCGTTTCTGCCCTGGATTCCTGAAAGACATTCCAATGTATGATACATGACATACCTTAAGCTACCGCTGACAAAATCTCCCGGTCGAACCAGAAAAGAATCGATCAGCCTCCTGGCGAATTGGCGATTTCTTGGCGTATAAAATATTGTATGTGGTGTCGTAGGTTAACATTTTGTGACATTAACAGGATCCTGTTCAGCAGTAGCGGTGTTCGGCGTCAGATAGTTCGCACAAGAGTTAGTATGGTTACAGGGGGAGACGTTGTCGAGAGGCTCGAAAAGCGTGCGGTTGAAGCAGAGGAAACGATTTCTTTGTTGAAGTCTCAGTTGCTCTTTCTCCAAAAAGCCGCAGGTTTGTGAAGAAAACAGCAACAGGGATGTAGTCAAGATTTTGAATAGTTCGAATTGATAAAGAATATGATAAGATTTTCCTATAACCCCATACATTTATTATCTATGCAGCAATTTCACACAAATACTTGATATGAATAGAATGGAAACATGTCTGCATCATAATAAATTATGTATGGGGCTGTATGGAAATTTTACCGGGGGGGAGGGATCTGGGAGCCTGAAAGTTCCTGAGATTTTTAGTTCATTTGCAGAGGTACAATCTGGTGTACCGTAAACAATCAAATTAGCCACCCTCTTAATGAGTGCCCTGTTCCCTTGCCTTATCTTAAGATTAGCCCCCCTTTTGACTCAAAAGTAGCCTGTGAACAGGCTCTCGGTTCTTTTTGGGGAAAAAATTCTTTTTGGGGAAAAAAATAGCAAGGAAAGGGAAGGGAAGGGCTTTTCCCTCTCCCCAGTTCCCCGCTCGACCAAAGGTCTGTTCACAGGCTAGCTCAAAAGTGAAATATTAAACTTGGCAGGTGTTATCTAAACAAGATGACGAAAATTTTCAGTGCAGCGCACCACAGTCTGCTTTGTAATTTGGAAGTGACAAGGTATTCGGTTCACACCAGGTATATTTTTTTGGTTTCCCTCAACATTTTCCAATATTTTTTGCACACTTTGCTGTAAATCTTTCTTTTATGGTTTTGTTTACGAATGTCTTTTCATTTTGAATATTGTCCAAAATGGTTATTTTGACTGCAACCTAAATTTTTATAAATTCCACAAATTCCTTAATAGTTATCCAAAAGAAGATGCAATATTTCAAAACCCTAGACATGTGTGATTTACATCCAAAAATTTCATGTATTGTTACTAAATATTTCCAATGTTTTCACATGACTAAAATTTGCAAAAAAAATGCTTTAATTAGCTTTAATACCTTAATACTTGGTTTATATTTCACTTTTCTTTGATTTTAGGGTCGGATTATTCTACGATAATGAGTTTGAAACAAAGGAAAGTAAATTTTATAACAAGGATAAAATTGAACGGGAAGAAATATAAACAATAAGTTAAAAAAGCAAAATTTATTATAGACAACTGTCAGGGAATTTTTGAAGAACACGATGACACAGCTTTAAGTGTTGTTCATAAATTCTACAAAACTGCCTTTCAAAATGACAGTTCATGTTGTAGTCTTTGCCAAGTTATTTAAGACTGTATTATTCACTAAAAAGCTCTATTTTCCTTTATTATTTAGAAAGAAAATCAAAGCCGACTGGTATTAAGGTTTGTTTACTTTTAACTTTCTGTGGTAATTAAATAACTTGTCAGTATATTAATAATTTTAAATGGGAATTTATTCTGAAAATCAGCTTGTCCTGAGGGCTAGATGTTCCTCTAGCATTGCTGGGCTAGAGCTCTGAGGATTTCGCCTACCCTGTAGTCAAGGTTGTCAGAGAGTTTTGAAGTAGACAGCAGAGCTGTCAAAGTAAGCGGCCAGTCCAGGGCTCAAAGTTTAAATTTGATTGTGGGAGCACTTGTACTACCGGATGTAAATTTTTAGGCGCACAGCTGAAGATTTTAGGAGCACAGCTTATAATGTGGGGATCATCTATTTCAAAAGAAAAAGTAAAAAGCTTAACAGTGCCACGTTTATTTGTCATCTTCAGTTTGTTACTTTTACTTCAGTCCTGTGACTGATAAAACACAGCCAATTTGCTACACAGTAATACTGTTGTGATTTTTAATACTAATTTCTCTTTTTCACAGTACAGTTGAGACTAAAGAAAACTTACACTTGAAAAACAATTCAAAACTGACAACAATGAGTGTGTCGAACAAGAATGAAAATTAATCTTTAATGAATTTGCTAAATGTGCAATGACTTACATGAAGCTGGGATATGACTTAAAAAACTTTCTTACCTGGAAAAAAAGGCTCTTAATCCACACTGTTTTTGTTTTGATTGATGTTAAAGCTGAAGGTTCGCCATGATTGTCCATTACGCAAAAAGTACGTGTTTCGTTCATAGCATATATTTGCATGTGTCAGCGGTGTTTATTACAAAACAGAAGAGTCTGGGATGGAGTAAAACGTCGAAACGAAAAAGAACATTCGAGTTCGTAGAATCCATTGGGAGAAAAGACCAATTAAACATACACCTTCTTTCTAGTTTGAGTTCGTAAGTATAGGCGGAAGTAAGTCAGTCGCACTGTGCTTTGGGTTTTATGGCACACAGGTGCGATTACACATGAATTTTTAGGCGCACAACCAAAAATCTAGTAGCATATGCGACCAGTTAGTCGCTAACTTTGAGCCCTGCAGTCCAGGGATATTTTATTTTAAACAATGCCATCCCTAAAGAAATACTAAGCAGAGTAGCCGACTGATTCTAAACAACTAGACGGCGATTTTTGCCGGCAGCCAGCTACTTTTGACAACCCTATGTAGTTAGTAATAAATTTCTCCATAACCCATTCACCACTTTTCACTAGCTTAAATGTTCCCATTTAGCAAATTATAGCTTTCTAAGTTTGGATATACCCTAAAGGCATTTTTGATGGGTTAAAATAAAAGCTTAATTGTTTGTCCTTTTTATTGTTTTGTGTTCTCTTAGGACCGCATTTCAGCTCTTAAACAAGAGAATGAGCGTCTGAAGCAAGAAGCTGACAAACTGAAAGCAGAGCTGGAGTACTGGGAAGTTAGGAATGGATGTAAGTCATCATGAGTATCAAACATGGGAAATAAAAATCTGTGAAAGATTACTCCAGAGGATTTCCTTTACAAATTTGAAAATATTTTTATTACAACCTGCATTTTGATTAAGTCTACATACAGATATTAATTATTATTAATTACTAATAATTACAGTAATGAAGGGCTACCTTGAGTAAAGCCTGCCTAGCCTGAGAAAACGTACAACATTTCGTGACACCACCAACGGTTTCCCCACGAATTGACATCTGAGAAACGAGCACAGAAATTCGATATTGAGGACACGTCACTACCCAGATCTGGGTAGTGCTTCTGATTGGTTGAAGCAAATTTCACAAGCGGCACAACCAATAGAAGCACTACCCAGATCTGGGTAGTGACGCATCGTCAGTATAGAATTTCTACGCTCCTTTCTCAGACATCAATTCGCAGGGAAATCATTGGTGGCATCACAAAATGTCATCTGTTTTCTCAGGCAAAGCCCTGTAAGTGACCTTTGATGAATTTCTAAATTCTCCTTCAGTTTTTCTTGTATTGTGCTCGTGATACAAAGAGAAAATGTGACATTAGGTCAGCTGTCACCTAGGGCTTTTTCCGCTTCATTATATTGACTGTGAGAGTGAAAAGTGCTTACACTGTATCTGTGGGGACATTACAGAGAGATTACTCTTCACGTTTACACCAAATGGCAAATGTGAATTTGTACCATGTGACCAAGTTTTCCCCTTATTTTTTGTTTACTTTTTATTTCTTCTACACAAAAATAAGTGGCTTTATGCCAGTTTTTTCCATAAGAATCATTTGGGACTGTTTTTATCTGCTTATTTTCTGTTCTGACAAATTCTCAACTTGAATCTGATGTTTGCCGTTTACAGTTCAATTTAAATCTTAATCTCTCTAGTGAAACAGGTTGCACTTCCAAATGCCAAGCAAGCAGCATCTTGTGAGGTTCAAATGATGGAGCAAATGGCAGCTGCTGAACCAGCAGAAGTTAAACCCACAGAAAAACCAGAAGAGAAACCACCAGCAAAGAAACCCAAAAAGGAAAAAGCAGAGAAAAAAGGAAAGGACAAGAATGCTGGTAAAGAAGGTAGGAATAAATATCTGCGGTAGGAGTTGATTTTTAATTAAGGGCTTTGGTCATGGTTATTGGGAGAGGGAGGTGGCATAAAGAGCATTTTATGCGTTAATTTCAACTTGGTGATTGAATTTTGGCCACCGCAGCATTCGCTGCTTTTGAGAGATACTGCTGAAAATTTACAAGTTACCTTTTTTTTTAATATGGTCTTTCAGCTGCTACTAAATTGATTTTTCTAAAATGAATAATGCATTTTAGAATGAACTATTGTGTTCTTGTCAGTAGAAAGTTGGTCATGTGACAAACTATTGCAAAAGGCCTTTTTTTTTTATTAAAATAATATTATTTGAGGTACACTGGGAGGGGTTGAGATCTGCTCTAACAAAACCCGTATTGGTACTTGAAATAATAGTATTAAAAATAATGTTAATCTTTTGAATCTCTTTACAATGGCTGAATTAGAAATTTATTTTATTTACTCAGTTCTTGTGCTTCACTTCCCCATTAAATTATTGTTGGAACCCCTGAATATTATTTCTTAGAAACTGGCCCATTTAGACCACCTCAATTCATTTACTGCCAGGAGGGACAGGTTGCTGTTATTGAGTAATGACCAGCTGCTGTATTCTTAGGCCACCACTAGAGACTTCAGATTCTATGGCAAGAACGACTACGAGCACAAGATTTCGCTTAAAGTTTTTCACGTATTCTCAAATAATAGACACCCCTGGAAAGCTCCATTGTACTTCTTCTTAGCCAAAAAAATATCGTTAATGTTATCTTTATTGAAGGAGATTAAGCCATCCCCCGGCCGCAAATGATAAAGCCTCTAACACTTTATAACTTGTTTCTGCTACCACGACATTCTTGCTAAAATTTGTAGAAGAATGATAATGACTATCATGTTTTCCCACCAAAGTGATGCTGGTTCATATGCAAGCACTGCTTAGTATTGAGAAAATCTCTTACTCGTAGTCGTACTCTTTTTAGAATCTAAAATCTATTTATTCAGCAATGATACAGTTAAACACCATTAATACAGACACTGAAAGGGCCGTAGAAAGTGTCTGTATTAAGCAGGCTGAATCTAAAGAAAATGAAGGACCCTCTTTCCCCCAGGACAAAGTAAACTGTCCAGAATAATGTGGTGTCCATATTAAGTGGGTGTCTGTAAAGTGGGGTTCAACTGCAATAACATTTTCAAAGGGGTTGTGTCATAGCAGTCCTGTTCATTTTGTTTAATTTTGCCAATTACTCTCCCTCAATTGCTATGGAAATTAAAGTAAGCAAAGAAATTACAGGTAAATGACAAAATCAGAGATCCGAGACAAACAAATATGTCTCCTGAATATTATTTTTGTAGTTGCAAACAGCAGGGATCAAGTTTGAAAAACTGTTAGGCTGAACAGTTTTCAAAAACCTTAATTTCAATATCCACTTCAGTCTTCTTCAGTTTTGCCCATCCTTGGCATCTGTTGTTTCTGCTATGTTATTTTAACCTTCCTTTAAAGTTTTAAGCGGTTATTTTTATGTTTCTCTTAATTTAATGGGCATTTTGTAATTTCCTAATTATTTGGCTGAATTTTGTGATACAGCTCCCTTAAGTGTGTGAAAATTCCATTTTATTCAGAACAACCTGGCAGTACAGAGCCTGATGTACATCATATTGACTTCCGTGTGGGTAAAATTTTGTCAGCCAAGAGACACCCAGATGCTGATACGCTTTTTGTGGAGGAAAGTAAGCAACAAATTATTTATTGTTGTCAGCTAAGCACTTTTTGTAAGATATTGTAAAAAAAATGTGTGCTGTTGCATTACTCAAAGAAACTGGTGTTTCCACCTAAATGAACAGACCCTCCCAAACACATTTTCCTTCCATTTTGACTACCGCTGTGATACAGCGTCCCATTCTTGGAGTTGTTTTTTAGCTGATGTGTACTGAATTAAGAGCCTGATTTTAAGTGTCATATTTCCGAAACTTACACTTTCCTCATTCTGATTTCAGGCCTGAGTACTAGCTTAATGTTACTGTTTTTTTTTCTTTTGTCCCTCGGTGATTGTAACTTATGTTATTTTTATTACTATTTTTCTTTACAGTTGATGTGGGAGAGGAAACACCCAGAACAGTTTGCAGTGGACTTGTTGGATCAGTTCAACTGGAAGAGCTTCAGGTGCACACCGTACAACCATTTCTGTATTAGTGTGCAACCAAACTCTCAATAGAAGGCATGAGCAAGCTGCGTTTGGAACAAGGGGCAGAGGATATTTTTAATGATCATAGATTGTACTCACCATGTGTCTTCTCATTGACTAAGAGCCTACAGTTGATTTTGAAAATCAGCTCAACCTACGGATTTGTTAGTTATCTTATAGCAGATTACCGACTAATCTGTAGGTTCAGCTCCATAATGCATGATTTCCAAAAGCAATGTCAAATCGGCTCCTTGTGACGGGTTTTGCTGTTTTTTTCTTAAAAAACAAGGTATAATATTTTTTAAAAACAGTTATTTGATTTGGTTTTTGTGATATCCGGAATAATCAAGATCTTGGTAAGTATTATCAGCCTCATCCTTTGGCTCAGATGAAAACAGTTACCTTAACCTCAACTATTCTGAATATCACAAAAACCTCATCCAATAAAATAATTATTGTATATAATACTGTTCCTGCCCCTCAGTTTTGCATGCCACTCATGTGTGCCTTCTTTGGACAAATGCAGTAATTATTTTTTTTGCTTTGTGACCTAAGAGGTTTGTGTCATTTTTACTAACTTCAATTTCTGTGTCTCCAAACTTAGGATCGTATGGTGATAGTCATGTGTAACCTCAAGCCAGTCAAGTAAGTGTGGTCTTTAGAAATTACGCCCAGATCAAATGTTGAACTTTTCATGTACCAATCCTAATCCCTTCAATCAAGTACATGAAAAGATCGACATTTGAATAATTTAAGTCCAGCATATCTAAGTTGGGTCAACCCATTCAGTTTGAGTGACCCACTTGGGAATGACTGAGGAGTGACTTCGTTTTGAATGCCAAACTTTTCATGTGCCAAACGTAATGCATAAATTACTGTAATTTATTTTCATTGGTAAACATTCTACACCATTGTCTATTGTGAAAATGAATTGATTCCAACTATTTAAGTTCGACATCTTAATCGACTGTCAAACCTACATGTACGTGTATATCACTTGGGTCAACCAAATAGCGATTCAGTTTGGTACATGAAAAGCTCGATGTTTTAACTGGGCGTAAGGCCCTTTAAAAATGCTCCATTTCCTTGGCACAATGAATTATCATAGAACAAATTTCACATTGTTATTTTAACTCCAATTATTAATATACATGTAATTGTACCCTGCCTTCAGCTTTATCTTTAGAAGTTTTATAAAAAATGTATCTTTACAATATTATTATAAAATGTATGTAAAAATGTATCACAAAATTATAAAAATTAAGTTAAAAGAAGTTTTTGATCACGTGCTGCAGGATGCTTTGGTGTCAGCTGTAGGCAGACAGATCTTTGGCTGAAGACAGAAACTGGAAACAGAGCATGAAAATTCTCTGGCACCAAAGTGTACATTTACAAAAACCCATTTAAACCCTTCAGTTTTCTTTCTAGGGAGTATGAAGTCATGGCCCCTATCTTTAAGAGTCCATTACATTTAGGTAGAAGCAAGTCATACAATACATGACCAGTATCTTCAGTGATTCTGTTGAACTGATCACGGTCCCTAGTCTTTATATCATCAGAAATAAAAAGATCTTATTTCTTAAGCCAAAATGATAGGCACGCCTAATAAAGTTGTCAATCAATCTAACTATTTCCCCTGAAAGCTTGAGCCCCATTCCTCTTCCATCTTCCACTTTGGTCTGCTGTTTTGCTGGCTGGTTATATTCTCATTTAACCAACCTTTGTTGTTGGGTGAAAACATGAATGTTGCACTTGCTGTTAAAAAATGTAATTGCTGGTGACCAGATGAGACTGCAATCCTAATCTCCAGGGCCAAGTTGTTCAAAGCTGGCTTAAGATAACCCAGGGTTAATGCGAAACTTGAATTCAGAGATGAAAGCTTAAAAAGTAAATTTTTAATTCTTTTGTCAACAAGTTGATGATTGAATGCTCTTAACAATAGTAGTTAAAATTATCCGAGAAAATTATGTTGAACAAAAGAAACTTGGCTTAAATTTAATCCTGGGTTAAGCGCTAATCGGCCTTCGAACAACTGGGCCCAGGTTGCTACTGTGCATGCACAGCACATAGCAAGCTTTCGTTTGCACTTCCACTAAGAATGAATGGAATGCATAGAACACTTTCTGATCACAGGTTCCCCAAGCTCACGAGTGAGAAACGTTGTTGCATAGCAGAAATATTATAAGGGTTTGTAAGGGGATTTAAGCGATCGTTATTAATGGGGTCAAAAATAGTAATAAAAATACATCAGAATTTCTTGCCTTGTGTCCTTGTCTAAATTTATGGTGTTTTCTTTGCATTTTTTGCCGTTTCATGGCGATTCCAGCGAGTTTCAGTTCTGCTGTAATGGACGCATTTTATGTATTGGTTTATTTTAATCTCTTTTTTTTTTCTCTTAGAATGCGAGGCATTATGTCTCAAGCTATGGTGATGTGTTCAGCTAATGAGGACAGGTCGAAGTTTGAACTCCTTGATCCTCCAGCAGGTTGTGCACCTGGAGACAGGGTTACATTTGAAGGATTTCCAGGAGAACCTGACAAACAACTAAACCCCAAGAAAAAGGTGAATACTGCTACAGTCAACTACGGCTATAACGGACACCCCGATAATACTAGCCTCCCACGCAGGCGTTATTAGGGGAGCTCGTTTTTCATCCCTCCCCAAAAGGAGAAATGAAAGACGAGCCCCCCCTAAAAACGCCTGTGTGGGAGGCTACGATAATACAGACAGCAGCTAAATCCCAGACAAAAATAAATTACAGACGTTCGACCGAAATCAACTCCCGCTATTACGGACACTCGCTTATGAGGACACTAACTCGAGGTCCCTACAGTGTCCGCTATAAAAGGAGTTGACTATAGCAGGAGTTTATTTCAGTCAAACATCTGTAATTTATTTTAGCCTGGGATTTAGCTGCTGTCCGTATTAGTTTAGGTAATAGCATGATTTGTAGTGATATTTGGCATAAATACCACAAGTGGTATTTCGAAATTGTTACACGTAATTTCACGAGCCGTTTAGGCGAGTGAGATTTGAGACCATTTTGAAATATCACAAGTGGTATTTATGCCAAATATCACATACAAATCATGCTATTATTTGTTTATACTACTACCCGCAGAAGGTTTGTAATTTTCACATGTAGGTTTTTAAAATTAAGCTGAAATACCAATGAGAACGCTAACTCAAGGTCCCCCCAGTGCCCGCTATAAAGGGAGTTAACTGTCGTACTTTCTCTGAAATAACCCTAACGTGTTCAAGACGCATTGTTAAGATTTCTTAAAAGGGTAAGCGTTAAAAAAACTCAAGCTATTTTTCTTGCACATTTGCTTATCCTGGATGGCGGGCGTCGAAGGGAGAGGGAAAGGGGAATTGAGGGGCGCGCGGAACCTGAAGGGAGCACGCCCGTCGCGTCAACCTCGTATCCGGCCCATTTTTTAAGGGAATAGCCCTGGGGACGAGGTTGGCATCGAGTTCGCGCGCATGCATCGCTACGCAAGGTGAAATTTAAGCCCTTTTACAGCACGTCTGGGATCAACAGTAGGAAAATGTACCTTCCTTTTGCATTGCTTCACTACTTTGCTTATCCGTGGTAATCTTGTTCCCTGATATTAAAAACACGTTAAAAATCGGAAATCAGGTTTCCCTTAATGCGTACTGCTAGCTAGACTATTCACAGCCCTCTATTTTTCCGTAAGAGCGTTGAGAACGAGTGCTACAGGTGGCCGTCTTGAGCGAGGTTAGCTCAAAGATGATCACTAAAGTGGCGGGGAACGATTTGGGAGGGGCGAGAAAAATATCCCCCGCCACCATAAACCACGACCCCCGCCCCCTCGGTATATTTGAAACCAATTACAAAATGGCTGCCACTGACGGTGAGTGCGCGATTTCGACAATTTCACGGAATAAAAGGGGACTGTGAACAGTGTAACTGCTTTCCAACTATCCTCAAGACCATCGTTCTGCAATCTAACGGAAGAGCAAATGGGTTTCTTTACTAAATGTCTCTGATTTACAGCTTTAGAGGACTTTTTAAAGACGTGACAATGTACTATGAACATTTTTTATTCTTGTAGATCTGGGAGCAAGTGAAACCTCACCTACGAACAAGCGCTGCTGGAGTTGCGTGCTACAAGGATGTGCCGTTTACTGTAACCGGAAAAGGAGTGTGTACATCATGTTCCTTAAAAAATGCTACAGTTTGTTGAATTGAATCAAGTGAATTTAAAAATGATAGGAATAACTGAAATAAGTTGCTTCAGCCTATAAATTTGGGAATAAAAGTCCAGTTTCCAATGAGGTGTTATCGCTATTTCACTCCATCATGTGCTAAGTTTTTGCTTGGTTTTGAGGTGATTTAAACCGTGAATTATTGTAAGCCCAATCGTGGGTAGAATGAACCCTGGCAAAGTGCTAGCGAGAACTCGAACAACTAGGGCAGCAGGCGTAGGCTTTTCAATGAAAGTTTCAGTAGATCACGAACTAACAATTAACTCCAATAAAAGTATAATAATAGAATAAAAATTAATACTTCCAGTATCGCAGGCAAGCAAATGTATATATGCGTCTGTTTATGCAACTTTATGAAGTGGGTATTTTATTACTTCTTGTGGCTCATTTCCGCTTTGAAAATGCCTAGGGGATGCGAAGTCGGTCTAGACTTCAAAACTTTAAACTTTTTTATTTGATATCCGTATCCTACTAAAATTTTCTATCCAACAAGCTTTGCTACAAATTCACTCAGAACAAGCCGATAGCCAAAGAAATTGAACCGTGGAGCGTTTGGCATTGCTTTAACAAACGCATCAACCAATCTCGGGACACATGTTCATGGAATTAGTTCCTTCTGTTCCTTTTCTTGTAATTTGAACTTGCCATTCCAACGAAACTTAGACGAAATAAGAAAAAGTGTCCCTCGGTTTCCTCTACCCGCCATTCGTGGCACTGAGCCATCATTCACGTGAGAACGGACGAATTATCTGACCGGCTGAAAAAAATTTGACCGGACACTTCGTTCACCTGGAACCGTTCAATATTTTCGCTCTGTTCACACCAAACTGACGAACGAGGTTGAATTTCAACTTTTTTCGGTCTGTGGTTTTACTGTCTGCCCATGCGCAGAGCGTTACTTTAGCAGATCCACAGTGGCGCAATCTCGACCCCAGTGCTTCCACCCGCTCACACGCGAGATACGGCGCACGTTCACCCGCTGTCGAGCGAACTTGGATGGCCCAGTCAGAAACACTTTTATCGTCTTTTGCTGAAACCCCTCCAGAGACAATCTTGCTCCAGGGTTTCCCAGAGCCCTTCATCCCTGGCCGTCATGCGCAGAAGAGCACTGGGGTCGAGATTGCAAAATGACGCATCCATGCAACTACGCCTTTGCCACACAAAGATTTAGACGATAACGGTGTTCACTCCGCGCCGGTCAAATTTTCGACCGTACCGCCTTTGATCTCGAGTTTGGCGTTAGGTTTTTGAACGACTAAGCGAAAAAGTTTTCACACGCCTTGCGGGGTTCTGCGTTTACGGAAAAATTAACACGAATTTTAAACCTGTTGAAGCTAGAATAGTCCGATGACGTGTTAACCTGAGATGGCCCTGGGGAACACATCGTTAACCTCGTGCAATGTGACTCAACATCACTGCAACAAAGGAGAAACAGTAGTCAACAGTTCTGTTTTAGTAGCATATAACTCTCACTCGCTCTTTTTAACCATGAAGGGCTCTTCCTAGCAAGACCCGAAAAAAAAAAAAGTTAACATGTTTCGATGGCTACATTCTACATTCTGTTTTAGGCGCCAGCCCTCCTACGCTAATATAGATCGCGTGCTTGTAGAATTAATGTTTTCCCTACACATCTTGAAGCGTCAATAAAAGCAGCTTGAAGTAGTCATCTAGTAGAGATATATGATTGAGAAAGTTCGGCAGCCCAAAATTGTGAGAAGCGTGTTCAAAAGTTTGGAATCCATCTTCCTTCTTAGTCTCTTCTATGACTTTAAGAAGCTCCTTTAGGGAGTTTCTGCAAAAAAAGAAACAATTAAAACCAAACAAAACAGATAACAAAACACCAAATGAACTTAAATCTGCTAACTATTGTGCTTAAATTTGTTGCTTCTGAATATTGATCTGTGCTTAACTTATGACTCCATATTGTGTACAGTTTAAATGTGCTGGAGAATCCTGTTCAGCCATTCTACAATCATCGTAATATCCGACAATTCCTTTACTTATAAGGCTTTGCTCTTGCTGAATCAGCCACCATCGAATCGATGGTATTTTACTCCCGTCTCGACAAATATGGTAAGCGCCAGTTGGTTATGGAAAATTGGCCCAGAGACTGGAGCCAATAAGAAATGGCGAAATATTTTGAATGAATGCATGTTCTATCTCATCACCTGATTAAACAGGTCAAGTAAATAATCTCAGACCTTACCTTGTTATTTCAACATCTACAATTCGTCTTCTTAGCTTAAGCCTGCAGTCTTCGCAGTTCACCACCCTGCAGCCGTCATCCTTATAAGCCTCCACTGTCTTGCGCGCGAGCGTGGCAAGTGGTAGATACTCCCTATTCATTTTGAGAATGCCATCTGCCAGCACCTGAGCCTCGCCTTCACACAAGCGTGAAAGGATCGTGGGATGTGAGCGGTTTGCGGTCACGATGTTATGGCGATCCAGGAGGAATCGCCCAGACGACTTAGCTTGGCGGAGATAGGAAATCATTTCGACCCTTGTCAGGGTCTCCGGCGGGTTCATTCTGCGTTTTAGTTCTCCCAGACTGATGTTGTACTTGGTTTCTTTAAATCCCGGAAGAGAAAGAAGGCCATTCACTTGACACACAGTGTCTTCGTCGTCGAGAACCGGCTGCCCATCTACAAAGCTCTCTTGATCCGAATCACTGAAGCCCGAATAGTCTGGTCTCACTTCAAAGCCTTTTATTTGTCCTTTACGGGGATTTGCTTCCGGAGAACACAAAACGTTTTCCATCGGGCTTTGTTCGTCCTCAGATGCTCGTTTGACATCTTGGCGGTCGAAATCATTAGACTGACGCTTCTCCTGGCCTTCGAGTAAAAGCTCTTTTCGAGCGCTTGCGGGAAGTTGCCCGTCTCGGTTGTGTCTTACGTTATTTACGATTCTGTTGAGCCTCAGAATCTTCGCCACATCTTGAGGACAATGGCGGAAAGTTTCAGGAAGAATTCTTGTATCGTTTTCGTGGGTCGTACTGCTAATCTCACCCAAATCTTTATCACTGAGTGCTGTGCAAACTTCGTCGCCATTTACTGGACTTGCAACATCATTTCGTGATTCCCCTTTTTTACGATTCACCATCCGCCCCGTTTCTTCATGAACCTCAAAATTTCTATTATAATTATCGTCTCCATCAACGCGTTGCACGTCTCCTCTGATAAAGTCGGGATGGAGAGTTTTGTGGTCTTTCCTTTCGAAATCAGTTCTTTCACTGCCTTTCCAAAGTGCTTTTTCGCCGTGTAATAATGTTAGATCGCACTTAGCTTTGGACGATTCCGACGAGGTGTGGTTCAGATTTGAGAAGTCTGAATACTCAGCAGTATCACTAGACGTTGAAGGAGATGCGATAGGGACCTCGGTGAAGCTGTTTAGCAGAGCCTTCGGTGCCTCTGAAAATCTCCTCCTATCGCTTACAACTTTGCCTTCTTGACATCTCTTATCGCGAATCTCATTGTACTGCATGAATATGGTTTGCTCTGCTTTGTGTCGTTTGCTTTGCTGAGTATAAGGCCTTTTTCTGTCTCGATACCACTGATATGTCTTCCACACTGGCTCCTCGTCTTTTCTGTTAAAATGAGTGATGTTGACTTTTTCGTTTAGCTGCAGAGTAGAATCAGCTTTTTGTGTGTGACCATTCTGGTCTGACCTACGCGACAATGGCGAGCGTTCCCGTGGAGAATTTGAACCATAATCTTCGTTCATTGTGATAGTTGTGGCCTTGCGTTTATTTTCACCTGCCTTTGTTAAATCGGGAGGTAGCCTTTTAGCATTTTCGTACCGCAAAATTTCTCGCCTCTCACGATTGTCAACTTCTTCCATCAATTTCCCCTCAGTAATTCTTTGTTTTCCGGGGATACCTTCTGCAAAATATGAATTCGCTGTCGGCGGTGACTGGAAGCGGCTAAAGGAACTTTTGTCTGGACGTGGTAAGTAACCGACTCGATTTTGCGAGGCCCTTAGAGGGCTTTTGCCTGCTTCGAAACGCAGACGTCTCAGTTCTTCTTCAGTTGGCCACGAGAACGAGTGAGATTCAATTTCACGCGAAGAACCGGGAAATTTTCGGATCTTCTCGGGACGGGTCGGGCCGTCAAGGTGTGACGTGTGTTTAGGTGGAGATTCGCGCTCTGAATGGTTCCCATCTTTCACATTTTCTAGCGATATTTTTTCACTAAACTCATCGACGGAATCGCTTGGACTTTGAAGTTTCCTCCAAGCAGAGGAAAATGGCGCCACATTGTGGGGACGGTTGCACGTTTCGTTAACTGGCTCTTGCTTGACTATAATGCAAGGAGTTTCCTCGTGACCCATAAATTCCTCGTTTCCTGCAGGAAAAACGATGTATCAAGTACGGATGCAACCCAATATTTCAGGAAAAGTTTTATTATTTGGCGTAAGAATGATCCTAGTGAAATTATCTTCTGCTTTGAAAGACTGTGCTAAACGTGCTCTGTATCTCACGTCAATGTCAACGAGGGGGTTTCAAACGGTCCCAATATCAGCCTTGAAATGTTTGACAGAACTGGCTGGAAAGAAGAAAAACTTATCGTCGTCGTGTGTCAGTGAGGGAGCTTAAGCGACGACGACGACGACAACCGACAACGTCTAAAAAACAATTGGTTTTATGAGCAAAACGACAGCTTTGCACGAGTATCACGCTTTGTAGTAAGTTTCTTTGAAGTCCACTGCACGACTACGACGTGAAACCTCCTATAATCTGATAATGCGACGTTTTATGGAGGACGAGGACCGCTTACGACAACGAATTTTCCTTTCTCTCTTTGAGCCTGGATAAAGTACTTAAGAATTCAACCCCAGGGACAATTGTATCTTAACAAATTGAGTGCGGGTCCAAATAGCAGAAAAGTAGACGCGAAAAATGGTTTGAAAGGACGCAAATTAATTTTTTAGCAACGTTTTCACTGCCGTCGCTGTCGTTGCTTAAGCTCCCTAGTCAAAAGTT